TTCGTTCAAGTCTATCAAGTACTGAATGTCACGATCGGTAAGATGCAGGCGTTGAGTTCAATAACAGGGAAGCCATTCGGGGTTCTCTCAAATCCAAGTCCATACTACTATAGTCAACATTTGTGTTCGCAAAAACTTGCACCAGGTCTGACTTCATTAGGCACCTTCTCTAAAGCGATAATGTTGTTCCACTTTGCATGGACAGATTATCCACTGCTGCTCATCGCAATGGCAAGGGAATGCGATCATTTGAGACGGATAATCCCACGTGGAGCATTCGAACTGCGGAAGGTGATTAGAGATCAGAGCGACCTTTTGTTTTCCGTCCTCCTACATGAGCGAAAGTGCCGGACTGCATGTGAACTGCGGGGTTTTGTATATCGTTCAATGGCAACAACGCTTATCCTGTGACAGTGCCATCGCGCTTTCAGTCGGTTAAGAAGAGATGGTAGAGTGTAGCGTTGGGATATGGTGAACAGGATGTATAAGAATACGTATGGGAATTAAAGAGACGTGAACCGTCTTAGTTCTCTTGATGTGATAAAAAGGTTCGTATGCGTATACTTCTCGCTTTAGTTATTAGGTGATGTGGTAATCAATACATCTTCTCGTCTAGTTGCGGCAGAAAGACAAGCAAAGCGGCATCTTATTGCGGGGGGAATGGAGTATAATTCGGGGCCAGATGACTTGTACCAAGAGCTTGGGCCTTTGCTCACCCATGCCACTTACAATAGTTTAATATAACACTTCTCATCTCTTTTATCATAAGATTACGCCATAGGAGCAACATCCAGAATCTGAATAGGCTTTCTATTGACTCTATGTCACACATGCTCGCGAAAGTATGGGCCGACACAGCGCTTAATGATCATTCACGGTTACTAATCTGCATTCTGCTTTGTTTGTTTGTTAGGATAACTCGAGCGGGGATGATAACGGAGATTTCAGCGGAAAACAGGGCTTGCGGTGACCTGAAAAATCCCCTGTGTCAATCCTGGACGGCCATCAGTAAAAATTCCAAGAGCCGATTGTTGTCAAGGGCCAAGACTCTTGGCACCCGGCATTGAGGATGATCGATCGTGGAGATCAAATCACCATGTACTTATTACTGCCCATACCTAAGTAGAAGCAGACCCAAACAATGTTGTAGAAAGTGCATCTTGAAGCAGATGGTGACAAACATTTGTGAGGTATTTATTTTCCAGCATATTGAGCGGAAGTGACACAGACTTAGCCGCAATGCGAGGTCTCTAACTGTAAGACTCAGAACTTTATTGACAATGCTTTTAGTCTTCAGCTACAAAAGCCGATGATATTCGGCCGGTGCCGACGTGGGTTAATTGCGGGCAGATTTGATCCGCCGTTGAAGGCAGTAGTAGTAGTACTGGGAGTGGGCGTAAAACTGCAGGCTTCCGATTATCCGCAGACCTTCCCGATCTGATACTCGCCTCCGTTAAAAACCCTTGTCTCAAGACCATGGAGCAGTGTAATGATGTAACAGGCAGATTTGTGCGCATAATGATAGGATCAGAAGGATCAACCCGTATTTCAAATGACAGGCAATTAATTATAGAGTTAATGATAAGACTCGCCAATCGGCCTATAGGTTTAAAGCATAGTTCTGCTACGTGTAGCACGATGAGCCACGGGAAAGATACCGATCGAATTTGATGATAGAAGCCGCGGAAATAGTACGATTCCGCTGGTTAGTTGTGACTTAGCTAGCTGTAATCATAAAAGAAAAAGAATACTAGTACTTCAATTAGTGTTTGCTCATCGTATCAATAATTCCCGATTTGGAAGGAGTTCGTGTGAAAACTAGTACATCGGAGCTTAAGTGACCCCGAACAAACATCACAACTATTACTTCGATCGGCAATAGTATGGATCGGCTTTGGTCCGAGATATGGTCACGTCAAGCTTACCAGAAAAGGTTGTTTTGGATAAGGCAGGTCTGACAATTCTCAGAACTTTTGAAATGGACTACAACAAAGCGGGGAGCGCATTGACTGGGAATGAGGAAGGTGATCCGAGTCACTCCAACTCTGTTATCATGACATCTTGGCTAATCGTGAGGAGTTGAACAATGACCTCAACTTTGGACTTGTTGATGGAAGCCAAGAAATACTATGTTGCCAGCAAATGACTATAAAAACCGGCCTCCCTCCGCACTTGGATGCAGAGAAGAGCATCATCCATCGCCTGACAAGCACTCAGTCAAAAGGAAGGATCAATATCAACAGAACAAAGCAAGATGAAGATCAGCCTCATCGTCCTCAACGGCCTCTTGGCTGGTGCCATGGCAGTGCCAACTGGTTCCCAAGTTGTCCATGAAAAGCGAGACACCAACAATGCTCGATGGATCAAGCGTGAGGCGGTCGACCCCAACACCAAGGTCCCTGTCCGAATCGCCTTGAAGCAAAGCAACTTGGACAAGGGCATGGACTATCTTCTTGACGTGTACGTACTTCTCGCGATGCTTGATAACAGCTAAGCGGAAAGCAATCTAATGGATGACGATTATAGGTCTCACCCAGAGTCTTCCAACTACGGTAACCACTACACGGCCGACCAAGTTGTTGATCTTTTCGCTCCTAGCGATGAGTCTATCAACAGCGTGAAGTCTTGGCTGGTTAAATCTGGCGTGCCGGCCAGTTCCATCACTGCCTCCAAGAGCAAAGGCTGGCTTAGCTTCACAACGACTTCTGGACAGCTCGAGTCGCTGCTCCACACTTCGTTCAGCACTTATGATCACGTCGATGCTAGAAATGTCCATATTGGTACAGACGAGTACAGTCTTCCCAAGGAAATCTCTCAGCACGTTGACTTCATCACCCCTGGTGTTGTCTTTGCTCCCGTAAAGACGTCCGCCAAGAAGGAAAAGCGTGGCCACAAGTCTATTCGCCGCGCTTCCAAGCCCCTTCCCGCTCATATTGCGCAGATTTTGGCAGCAAACCCTCGTAAGTTACGCAATGACTAGAAAGTAAGGAATACATAGATGGAACACTGACAAGGGCTTCAATACAGGGGCGACATCGACCTGCGGCTCTGCAATTACCCCCCAGTGCATCAAGTCGATGTACAACATTACCGCCGGAACTTCTGCTATTTCTAGCAATGCCCTGGGCGTCTTTGAGGTTGAAGATACCTATGCTCAACAAGATCTTACTCAATTCTGGAAGTCGTTTGCTACAAACATTCCCTCTACTACTGGACCTAAGGTTGATGGAATTGATGGTGCCAAAGCCCCTACCAGCCCTATCAACGCCGGTGGAGAATCTGACTTGGACTTCGAAATCGCCATTCCTATCATCTACCCTCAGACAACAGTTCTCTACCAGTCTTCTGTTAAGAACGATGATATTTTCAACACGTTCCTCGACGCCATTGATGGAAGCTACTGCACATTTTCTGATGATGGCGAGACCGGTGATGACCCTACTGTTGATGGTACAACCCGCAATGAGCAGTGCGGTGCTTTCACGCCCACCAATGTCATCTCCTTCTCCTACGGCACTGCCGAGGCTGACTACCCTACCTATTATCTCCAAGTATGTGACTCCTTGTAACATTTGCCAAAAAGATTTTCGGTCAGCTAACTAGGTCCACAGCGTCAATGCGATGAGTTCATGAAGCTCGGTCTTCAGGGTACCAGCATTGTTTTCGCCAGTGGTGACGATGGTGTTGCCCGCCGCTCTGGTCCTTGTCTCGGTTCAAAGCGCAACATCTTCACTCCTGGTGAACCTGCTAGCTGCCCCTATGTTACCTCGGTCGGTGCTACAACTCTTCCATCCGGTAGCGTGCCTGGCGACGAGGAGACTGCTGTTACATCCTTCTCATCTGGCGGGGGCTTCAGCAACATCTGGACCACCCCGAGCTACCAAGCTAGCGCTGTCGCCGCGTAAGTTATGAATGCGAATTGTACTTTTTGCTCAAAGCTAATAAGAGTTCCAGTTACTTCGCCAGCCACGACCCCGGCTATGCCTCGTACAACACCTCAGCTGGTGTGATCCCCACCACTGGCGGTATCTACAACAAAGCGGGACGTGGTTACCCCGATGTTTCTGCTGTTGGTGACAATGGTGTTGTTGTCAACGACGAGGAGCAAGTGCTTGAAGGCGGCACCTCTATGGCCACTCCTCTGTTCGCTGGTATCTTGACCCGAATCAACGAAGAGCGTATCACTGCAGGCAAGAGCCCGATCGGTTTCGCCAACCCTGCACTTTATGCCAACCCTGCCATGTTCAACGACATCACCGTTGGCAACCAAGCCAAGGGTGGCCCCAACGGCGATAGTGGTGCCAGTGCTTGCGGTAACAAGGGCTTTTCCGCCGTTGCTGGTTGGGACCCAGTCACTGGTCTGGGAACACCAAACTACCCTGCTCTGCTGGAGTACTTCCTCGGTCTCCCATAATCGGAGATACAAAAGAGTAAAATGAATGCATTGCTATCAGCGCAAATACAATGGCGAATGAAGGAGGCCTGAAGTATATTGTCTTGTATCTAGCAGTTGATTAGCAATTCAGTAAATATAGCTGAAACATTCGAAGTCAAATATTGTGCCGAATTCAAAGTGCAGTGAAAACATCAATAATCTAAAATGATAATTCACAAAGATTGTAATAGAACTACTGGGATGCCTTTGGGCCATTGACGCAAAGCACCAATGGAAGTTGGTGGCTTAACTTCGAACAAAACATGTATGAAACCAGCGGAATTAGGCTGTCAATCGTTATTTTACACACAACTGCTATAAGTCTTTATATGGGAGTAAGTATAAGCGTATCTCAAAATACGTAATCAATTCAATAATATCGTAGGAATCGAAAGCTATAGCCATTAGACCTTTGAAGATGATACAAAGAACTATATACAACATTTGTATATATATACAATACTTTTTCTGTATGTACGACTTGCTATTATATACAAGATTGATGCAGGACAAAAAGGATCATAGAGTCAGGTTACGTGAACCTGTGTCGTAATTTGCCTATAATCTAACGGCGTCGGCGGGTGGCTCGCTCAGACCGCTTGTCGACAGAGCGGCGCTGGTTGACAGGGCCGGTGGGTTGACCAGGAGCATTGGTGTCGAAATCGTAAAGGGTCTCATCAACAATCTCCCAGGAGATGTCAATGTGTCCGGCGAAGCATGCGTTGCTGTTAAGCTCACTGAGGACGGAGTAGCTGAAGTCCAGTCCAGGAGCACCGTTGGGGTTCCAGACAGTGTTGGTCTTGGAGCCAGTGCCGCAACGCTGGCATCCGTCACCAATAAAGAGCGGGAGATCCGACTGGACACCGTTGACGGTGACGATGACACGCTTTCCACAGTAATCAGCCAGGTTGCCGGCAATTTGAGTGTGGTTCATGGCAACGAGGTTGTTGCTGTTGATCTGATCCAAAGAGAGACCAGTGAAAAAGTTGCACTCAACGAAGCCGAGGTTTTGGTTGGCAAAGCTGGTGCCGCAAGCTTGTACCTGCTCGACATCGTAGTAGTAGGTTCCAAATCCAGTGCCGCTGTCAATAACGGCCTGGGAAAAGGCAGATGCGGCAAAGAGGCCGATGGAAGCAAGAACTTGGCTCTTCATCTTGACTTTGGGGTGTCTTTACAGACTTTAAGGAATGAATGAATGAAGGAATGGAAAAGATATTCACAAGGAGTGACTTGCCTGCTAGGGATTGCGGTTGAGAAAAGATGTTGGGACATTTCCAGGCCAGACCAAAGACTACTTATATACAGATGAAACAACGGCCTGTTACAGTACAATCTTCTTGTGAAAATTTGACAGAAGCAACGAAGCAACGTTTACGTGAACACTAGCTAGTCACCAGTATGCTGTAAAACAACAGCCCGAAACATATTGAGACCCTTCAACTCCAGTGCAGTTACAGAAAAGGCATAGTCCTAGAGCTACCTATCGTCTGATATAAGCACTCTATCAAAGCTGTCCTGCCGCTTTAGGCAGGGAGTCGTCATTGCTACAGCGCTAAACTACGCTAGGTGGGAATCCGTTTAATTACCTCTGCCCTCAGATGGTGAATTAATAGCTATGCGTTTCACGGCATTGCCTGAACGGAAGGTCAAGAACGTGTTTGTAGTGGGCACGATTCAAAGGAGATTTTTTTCTGATCAATTACGGCACATCGTTGCCGATCAAGTGCCACAAATGGGGAATCCGCCTAACGTTACGTCTCGCTATGCAGGAACGCGATCACAAACCTATGCCCACGTTCTCGCTTCACACGGCACGGATTGAACTACTCAACTGCCAAGTCTAGGCCTGGCCTCATATTGCAATTACTACATAGATATGACGACGACTTTGGAGACGCGGCTGTTGGTCTAACTTCGCCGAGTAGCCATCATTGATACCTCAGGATTATACCGCAGTCCCATTTCCCCTAAACGGCGGCTTGTGTATCTTTACATATTTATATTGATATGATACTAGATTATTGTTGTAAGTGCTGGACATTTTTGAAGTCATTACTATACATTTCGAGAGTTGTTGTCCCCATAGAGTCAGATTAATTTGTAGAAACTCGGAGTGCGACCGCATGTCTATTCTCGCAAGTTCCTTCTATAGGAGGCAGCTGGGAATAACTTCCGCCTTGCGTCATTATCTACCTGCTGCTTTTGACTTGTCAGGGGGAGTGATTGGAGTGTTGAAGAATGCCAGTTTCAGTTCATCTTACGTGGAGTAAAACAGTCAAGGATAGGTGCAATATTTAGTGAATATAGTATTTTACATAAGCATTGCCGTACGTACACACTGGACACTTTGAGAGAACAATACTCGTTTATTGATTGAAATCTAATTGTAATAGTCTATAAGTGAGATAACGATAATTTAAAAAAGGCTTCTTAGACAAAATCGAGATAGACTGCAATGAAAGTAGTTTCATCTTGACTAGACTTTAGTTCATACCAAGCCTCTCAACGGGCTACCAAAATAAGCCTCTGTCAAATTAAAAATAATCAGCAACTAACACATCTCGGCGAATCCGAATGCATCAATTGCCAAATGTAGATTTAATATTTGCGCTTGTGTCGTGGCTTTATGCGCACATCAAACCACTAAGGATAGAACGGCAACGAATTGCAGCGCTAGTGTAATCAGTTGAGCGCTTTACAGGGTGGTTTTGCCAAATACGGAATATGGCATTTCACGTTAATGGCATCCTCGTCTTTGTATTTCCGACAGCCCATAGGGCTGTGGCTGTGGGAAAAATATAAGAAGACATGGCCTTACTGCCTTCTGTCTGGAGCAATCTCTTAAATGGTGATTCTAGGTTCAGCAGAACTCTACGGAACATGAGGAGTTAGAAATAGGGCACTACTGCTCCCTAATGCCTTATTTTGACAGGATTCGTAAGTATATAATGCTCAGAAAAGTATTGTATACTGAATGCTATTTATAGTTGCGATGCTTCTTGAGTTTATGATGACATACCTTTCAATATAGGTTTATTGACCTCCTCCAGCTTTCCATAGAGTAGCCGGGCAAACTCTTTTGATAACTGTGGCAACTATATCTTTTTGTTCGGCTTTGTTAACTTCTCAATCTCAAAGAATCGATGGTCAGTATCAAATCGAATGCCGCTCCCAACGTGCAAACCATGGAGACAAGGGCCAATAGAATGTCTGATAATCTCGAGCTCTAGCCCTATCCTAGCCTTCTAAGCTTCTTGATCAGCAGCGAATGTAGCTTTAATGTCTCGGTTGTGAAGTATTAATTTGAGATGTGGGTAACGTTCTCTGCGAGTGGATCGTCTCGCATTCTGTCATCGAATGGTAGATGCAACCCAAGAATGTTAGTTTTTAGTCTCCTCATGGCGAAGTAAGATATTGAAAATGGTCCAGGCAACATCTGATATGGTCGTAATACTAACTCGAATATCACCGTCGTCCCATATCTCAGCTGTGGATGTCTTCCATGCCAAAAAGAAAGTGTTCAATGCCCCATTCAAGAAATGGTATGGTATACAGATAGGAGTACCTCAAGTTGGATTCGCTGAGCATATTCTGTATTACAGTTTTTGGAACACAGTAAGGAATAGTCTGGGCTGCGGTGATTCTCACATCAACAACATATTTAGATGAAATGGTTCTATTGGCGCCGGATATGGATGAAGCTTTGACAAGAGCTTTATGTTGATCGAAGCGTAGGTGATTTCGTGTTGACACAACAGCATCTCTTGACTTTGGAGAGTTTAGATAAGAGAATCTTGTTCCTCGTACCCAGCCATCGCAATATTAACATCGTCGAATTATGCTGTGCCGCTTGAGGCTTGAACGAGAAGCGTAATGTCAAATGTTCAAGTATTTCGAAGACTTTGAACACTAGCTGGCCAGAGATATCCTGTTGCACCGACAACTGTCATAGGTAGAAGCCATGGTTACTCGTGAATACGAAGTGGCCCTAAGCAGGCAAGATCTTGAACCTTACGCTATCCTGAGAAGGAAAATGTAGAAGCAATTAGTGTGAGACAGTTTTGTTTGGTGATGTGCATAGCCTGTGGTTCGGAGAAGCAAAGCTGAGGTTGAAGCCGTGAAGATGTGAAGTTCTATTAAAGCTGCAGAGGTTTTCATATTGGTTGGATTGCGCAAATAAATAAGATCATGGAAATGGACTTGTAGATGGGGAAAGAAAATACATACGTACAGATATATATATATATATGTGTGTGTATGTGTGTGTGTGTGTGTGTATTATCATCCTGTTCCTAAAGCAGTATCACGCCTATTATCATCACGCCTCATTTCTGTATTACAAACATGATTCCAGCTATTCCAAGACAACTCGGAACTCTGTAAGGAGAGCAGTTCGTCACTCACTTGTATAAAGATACTGACCAACAGGGCTTGCATCAGTAAGCTGATGCTTGCATGCATTACTCAATAGTATTCCACTTGGGCTCGAGCTGGAAGACTGTAGCTAAATATATATGCGTAATCCTGCACTACTGCTCAGAAGGAATTCGAAACATACATTACTCAGTCTAACATCAAATACTGGGTTCCTAAATTCTGTTCACAATTGCCACAAAAGTGACTCTAAGAGCCATTCATCGATATAGCCATTTAAACTGGGATATACAGTACATTGAAGACTTTTAGAAGCCTATGGGTTCTAATGATGCTTTACCTCAATAAAAAAGGGAGAAACAGTAGAAGCTATGATGAATAGATAAGAGATACGTCTCTTTACACATCATCTGATCTTATGATTAAATCTGACACGTTCGTTCAAGCTTGTTCTAAATCTAGTGACCATGGTGCGGGCATAAAAAACTCATTGAGTGCATCTACGGTCAAGCTCGGCCTTTCCAAAACAGTTAACAACCTGAGAAAGGAGAAAAATTAGGGATTTACAGGGTGAATCAATGTGGTGCTCAAGAGGAGATTAAACTACCCAATTCTCATCCGTGGACGTGCATTATCATTAAACCTAAACAAGCAACAAACAACCATAGCATGCCGTATTGCGCTCTGCATTATGCCTTGAGCTAACAATGGAGGTTCCTTTCCCTCTTCATATATGCTTGACCGTGCCGTCATGAGACTATGCATTAGCCTGAAATGCTAAAGCAACATTTACTGCTTTCAAGCAGCTACGATATCCTCGCCAGCTGATGCCCGAATAACTTCCACAACCTTGCCTGGCATGCTCAACATCGGGGAGTGGCTGGAAGAGCAAACATAAGAAGTAAGGCCAGGACCTCCGATGCCAGCCATGGCTTGCTGAGCAACAAAAGGAATGGCATTATCTTTCTCACAGAGAAGATATGATGCCGGAACCTCTTGGTACGCGGGGTAAGTCAGGTTGGTGTAGAAGGAAGGCTTGGCCTGGTGGTTCAACTTGGCGATTGCGTCCTTGGTCTGATGCTCCGGCAGATCATTATAGAAAATGTTTTCCGCCCCTTCGACAGTCATTTTGTCACCCTTGATGTCTTGTTAGTAACACAGAGCTTTGTTGCGTCCTCCAGTGTATTCGGAGACTATCACTTACGTCAAACACAACCCATGGGGGCATGAAACCAAGGAATGAAGCTAAAGAAGTTTCTGGGGGGAGCAAAAAGGCCGTTACATAAACTAGGGATATAATTCCGCCAAGTTTACCTTCAGCCTGTCGGTCCTTCTTTAATAAACCCTTCGCACTCTCCGTTCCTGCAATACCGCCGTAGGAATGCATAACCAGGATTATGTCTTTTCCAGCGTCTGCCAGTTTAGATATCGACTTCTGAATGTGTGATGCATCTTCTGCCACTGATGTGCTGGGTTCTCCCCCTGAGGAAAGCAACTGGACTGTGCTGAAAGGATATCCGTACTCCTCTAGCTGTAAAGTAACGGCGTCCCAGCAGTCCGGTTCGTGCCAAGCACCAGGGACCAGGAAGATGGTCGGTTTCTCGGCGGTAACAATGGAACCCATCTTGTCTCGTAGTGTTTATGTGTAGGGGGGTCAGAAAAAGGGGTAAATATTCGAGCTTGTTGTTCTCTGTATTAGTATCAGCAGCGTAACCAAACGTCCCAACTCGGGACAGACATGTTGCTCTTATTATACTTTAGGCCAGCTCATCACCCTTTTCGGAATCCCTGTTATCAGAAGTAATGGATGAAACCTGTCGTGATATCATTTGCACCAATGGATTCGCGAGATTTGTGCAGACAATATCGGAGTACAGGCATCGAGCTTTCCAGTTGCAGAGCGAAGTGGAGAAAACCGGGATATGCATGCTGCAATATTGAAGGCGCATGAACTACAACGACCAATATGTCCTACATCAACCAGGGGATGATAACTGTATGTACCACATGTACTGCTGTTGGTCGTAACCAACACTGCCCACACTTGGATGTCATCGGAAGCAATGGTGGTCCACACGAAGGAGCAGCACTACCATGGCTAGTTGAATAAGTACGAGTAAGGATAGGCATTGGCATTCCAGCACCGCATTATATCCGAAGTTGATTCGTATTTGCGCATGTATGAATAACAGAATGCTTGTTGCGGCGTAAAAGGTCGGTCTCATGCCCGCAGATCATTCTAGGACCTAGTAATTCTCCCCTGAAGCATCGTCTGAAACGAGCACCCGTCATTTTCATTATTCTTCAGCTCTTCATGCCTGGTACTCCGTAGAGAAGATCAAATTATTACTATATCTTCACCGATTGATATCCTTGGCAAAGTGATACCATGGCGTCCACTAGTAACACTGGGGTAAATCCTTCACCTGCTGATTTGCGCAAAGATGCAGCGCTCGTACCACCATTAACTGCATTGGCAATAGCATCGAATGGCCTAGACGCAGAGATGCCGAGAAAATATGCCGATACTCCTGAAATTACGAGCCAACAAGAGAAGGCCTGGCGACAGCCGATGGAATTCCTCCTGTCGTATGAAGTCAAGGGGGTTATGCTTGAAACGGGACATGTTAATTGCTGATCTTCAACTAATCGTTGCGCCGCTTAGCTCTATATAGTAATTGCCACGGCCAGTGCCAACAATGATTCATAAGAAGCTAGTGCAGACAAGGTGGTTTACAAGAATGACAGAAAGGGTGAATGGTGGATTGCTATATACATTGGAGGCCTAAAGAGATATCCCGTTCCAACATACCGTCCTGTCATATCTCGTAAGCCTCTACAACTGCTCTCGCAATCATGAGTTCGGGGCCACCACCGGGTATTGATCTCTATGCCGACATCAAAGAGAGTGTCATCAGCCCTGTCATTGCATTGATGGTACTGTCGGCGATATGTGTGGCACTCCGCATTGTGGCTAAGTTTACTACCAACGTGAAGCTTCAGCTAGATGACTACTTTCTATTTGCAGCCTTGGTAGGTATCCTTCTGAGGGGTGACTGTTGCTGTTGCTAACGTGGTCTACCATCAGGTGGTGGCTTGGGGGACAGGAGCTGCAACCATATTGGGTTCGTGATGCGAAAACCTCCACATTCGACTCGATGCTAATGTGGTCTATAGCGTGCTACAAAGGAATTGGAAAGCATATCTGGAATCCTACGGTCCAACTCGAAGAGGTGATGAAAGTGAGTAAATCCCCACACCAAGCAGCCGAATCACAGTATAATAACAATTTATGCCTCCTAGATTCTCTGGGCATACGAGTTTCTCTACGGCTCCGTCATTCCGTTGACCAAACTGTCTCTCATCTTCTTCTATTACCGACTCTTCCACGTATCAACCTTCCGCAAAGTTCTCTGGTTTGTGTTGTTTCTTGTTGTTGGTTGGTGGATTGCCATTCTTGTCACTTCCATCGCCCAATGCCGACCATACAACTACTTTTGGAAGCAATACGTGGATCCAACAGCTATCGGATCATGCATAAATATTCCTCACTTCTTCGTTGGCAACGCAGCGGCCAGCGTTGCCACTGATTTTATGATCCTGTTGACCCCGATACCCATGGTTTGGGGCCTGCAGATGCCTGTCGCGCAGCGACTGAGCGTTTTGGGTATATTTTTCTTGGGTGGATTGTACGTAACGGTTTCCATCCTCTTTCGGATCTCTGCTAATAATATGACCAACTTGCAGTGTATGCGTTGCCGGAATTGTTCGCATTGTTGTTTTGCTCCAGATGTTTAAATCGGCCGACCTAACATGGAATATGTCTCAAGCATTTATTTGGTCTTCCGTCGAGCCCAACATTGGTATCGTCTGTGCCTGCTTACCAACTCTTCGACCTCTATTGCGACGATGCATACCAGACTGGTTCGCGGGCAGCAGTCTCAACAAGTCCGGTTCGACACCACACTATGGAACAGACTATTCATCGAGACTTCGTTCGCAGACTGGAGATTTTTACGCCCTCACAGATCGCAATGGATCAAACAAAGACAAGAGCGATGACGAAATGGGTTTAACGAACAATTTTCAGTCAGATGGACACCAGCCTCGAGTGAGCACAGGAGATGCCGCGGCTCACGAAGAAACGCACAACGGCATCATGGTAAAGCATGAGATAAATTGGAGTTCAACATCGGCATTACATCCTCAGTGATGCTAATAGTCGGTTTGTTGGTTCTCTAAAACCGGAGTTCTAAAAGCTTGATTTTAGGTTCTGGAGATATCTAAGTCTCCCGGCGAAATCTGAATCTTGCACTGCTGACGACTTGAGTGCTCAGCAATTTTTTATTTTATTTTACGACATCGTTACAGGCGTAACGCAATAGAAAACCGGTTAGCATATACCATATTAGATAACGTACACCTAATACTAGATCTTAAACATTGAGCAACCCCTCTTCAGGACGGAAGAATTACAAACAAATTCCCTAGGAAAGATATAGGGAGCTATTGGCCGCAAATTCTTGTCCGTTGGACTTAGGATTGAGTCAGCTAAATTCCGTTGGTGCAAAGCCACTTGAGAATACGCGAAACCCGGCAGACATCCCCAAGTCCGTAGACTTCCTTCTATCCTGTCATTCTCCACCTCGGGTATTCCATCCCCTACCTACCCCGGTTTATCTGGTGCCTGGACCAACTTGAGGATACAGGTCCGCTGAAAATGAGTGTCGTTTGCTCACAATTCTTCATACAAGCACTCACCAACAGATAACCTAGATTCTTCTCTGTTAGGGGTATTGAAACCAGTCTCCTTCGCTACCCAAAGCGAGGCCGTGCAATGCTGGCATCGGTCCTAATTGAGAAGCAAGGGAACCGGCAGTTCCACACGCTACGGGAATGCCTCTACCGTTCTACGGCACTGTTGTAATAATTTAGCGTCGCTTGTCGTAGGCTGCAGTTAATTCCATGCAACTATCCAGCATCGCTACTTTTACTACCCTTCACAGCGTCGTAGCAGTACGGAGTATTGTAGGGGCTGCCCTGAATAGTATTTATGGAGCAAAAGGGCAAGGGTGAAAACAGAGCCCAGCGGCTGCTCCCTCGGGTATGTCGCTACTCCAGCTCCGAGTAGACTAAGAGCCCCGGTAATCGGGTGCATGAAGCTCTAACGGTGATCACACTGACGCGTGTGCTGTTATTAAATTAGCCCAGGAGATCATAGCGGTCACAGACTCACGCGGGACATCGGCGCTATCATAATGCTGACTTCCTCTTAGTAATGGTTGAGCATCCTGGTCCTGCTTTTATCTCCCCGTCACGTTTTACTATCGACAATCAACGTCAAAATTACAAGGATATATTATTAGGGCTGTGATTGGTGTCAAATATGAGGCCACAGCTTTCTTGTCGTGCCATGCAACTCCACAGAGGGTAAACCGTATTTCGTGTCATGAAGAGATTTCCGAGTCCAGACCATGGATAAAACACCGCATTATTCCAGGATCAAGGTTTATTACTGCACGCACGAGTACTCGTAGTGTGCTGCTGCAGCGGATTTTAGCACTCCAGCCGACCAAACCCCTACTGTTCTTGACTGATGTGCTATCCATCCATGAGGTTTCGATCACGCCACGACAAAGCATACGAGTAATACCATTCACTCGCTCCATGCATTTTTCCGCTGTATGGACTTGGGCGAGGGCATTTGTCCGCCGAAAGGTCGAGAGCTTCTTAGTGCAGTCGCATTTCTCCAAATGTTGAATAAACAGGATATTTTAGCCCCTTTCTCATGTCGACAGTAACCCAGCTTGCCCAGATGCCAAGACCATTGGCACGTTTAGAATTATTCTTCAGGTACGGAGTAGATCATCGCTACCACCGTCACTGTATTTGGTTAATACGGAGTACTTTTTCCGTCGTTCTAGGATGTGCCAACAGCAGAACCCTGGACTCATGCAGGTAAAGATGTAAATGGTATAGGGTGGCATGGATGACATCCCAGGCTCCCAACGGTGGACAGCGGTATTCTGTACGCCGTACCTTGAGCAGCTTTACAAAGCGCAATTTATGAAAGGAACCATCGGCTCGCAAACAAATGCCGCCTTACCGAATGGCTGTATGAGTACAAGTAGCCGTGGAAGCGATTTGTTCGACCTCCCATCAGCTGAAATAGTGTTCGTCGCGCGAGAACACATCTAGTATAAGAACATATAAAATATATCATAAAAATTTATAAATTCAGATTCACACTATTACATAAATCAACCGAGACAGCAATAATGACAGCCAGTTGGTCGGTCATTTAGGTGGTGACACCCAGGCTGTGGGCGACATGGAAAGCGGCCAACGCGATGCTTCGGTTGCTGGATTGAATGAAGACTTTGTCTTTAGGAAAGAGTTTGCACACTTTCATCAATGCATAGACAGCTGAACTGAATGCGGATAGATTGGTAGAGCTTTCCGCCCACTGATCGTCATCATTCAAAGCGTATCGGAGTGCTGCGAGGGTCCGCACCCCGGTGCTAGCATGATCAGGGAAAGCCATGCCACAAATCCTGTCTCCCACTTTGAACTGGGTGACTGCAGAGAAAGTTCGTTGTTGCTGAAGTCCATCGCCCGGACGTTGATCTCGATCTCGTCCTCTAGAAGTTCAGCAGCAGAAGTTTCTCTAAATATCGGAGCTTCTGAACCGCGATCAACATCTCCGATTATATGTCGGCCCTTGATATCAGGCAACTCTTTAATCTCCGGGTAAATGCTAGCTTCAGGTTTCTATTGAACATGCCCGTTGAAAAAAGTATCGCTTTCCATTCAATTGGCGTACAGTACGCCAATATCATAGTCCGAATCTACCGACTGTTCTGTCGTGGGTGTTGCATATCAAACTGGGTATATCGCATGCCGCCATACTCTTTGTAGTTATATTGAGATGCTGCTTCAAAGCCAGTCCCGATACCAGGACAGGTATAAGTATCGTAACCACGATACATGTCATCTTGGCCGTTTAGAGATGGCAATACTTTCCCAGTCACACTCCTGGTACCACCACCAACTCCAATGATCTTGAGTGCCGGGCTCTCATGAGACAAAAGCGAGATGACCTCAGTCAATGCCTCATTTCCGTCGTTATATATCGCCACTGCATAGCGATGTATCCAACGACGACCGCTTTCTATTCTTCGAGTACCTAATAAAACTAGACCAAGCCAATAACGAGTATTACAAGTGGTTAGACCTGCCCTAAGTCTCCCAAAATTGTTTCATCGCCTTGTCAGAGTTATATAACACGCAAATATGGCCACTTAAAGAGCCTTCCTAATCTCTGTACTCTTTACTGACCACGACCGTAGGTTACCTCAGCCATTACAATACCTATTAGTTATCTGTAGTTAATATAGAGAGTGGTATCTGGAAATAAGATAGTAACTTTAGATTTATAACTAGGGAAAAGGGACCAGAGGTCCTGAAAAAACCCCAACACAGACTTTGTAACAAAGTCCAAGGCAATTGCTAATAATCAATACAGCTGCCTCCTTTATGGTCCACCAGATCCCACCATCTATAATTCTTATAGTTACACTGCGCTGCGCCAATACCGCAGAGGTAACCACCACCTTTGTTATTAGCATTAGGCGAGGTAATGCGCGCCCTATTACCTCTTGAAATGCTTCCGCATCCATTTCTCAGGCTATTGAAAACGTTGTAATTCGTATGTGCCATCATGTATCTTACACAAACTCGCTCATTTCGTTGGCCTGTACAAGTATACGTATTACCTGTTGACCTGCTTTGTTCGACAGCGAAGCCGACACTAGCCCACCGTGTAAGAGCACCTGCAACTGAAAATCCGATAGTGTAGGAAGTAGAATCCTCTCGGCCAGCACTGCACTCATTCGCAGCACCACAAAAAATGTTTTCCTAGCAACAATTAGTTTCTCTCCATGCCCATTGTTTCGCATATAGAAATTAAGCACAGCAAACTCACACTGAGTTGGATAAATTGCATCTCTGGGTTGGGCTGCCGTCACCGTCTTTCTCCGTGAATGGACTCCATTGTGTGCACGGGCTTGGTGTTTGGCGTTTACTAAGCTCAGTGTCCAATTCAGTAGAGTTGAAGTCGGTAGAGTTGAAGTCGGTAGAGTTGAAGTCGGTAGAGTCGAAGTCGGTAGAGTCGAAGTCGGTAGAGCTGAAGTCGGCAGAGCATGAAATGCCACCAGAAGCATTGGTATCTGAATGGATTGTATACACATTGTTGCCAATCATGATGCTTCCAGTGCCACTGCCGTTATCATCAAGCTGGGAAATAATCGGAACTTGTGCAAAATTTCCCGTGTTGAGACTAGTCGAACGGCTCTTGCCGATGATCACGTCCCGATCCCTTGCAAGTACTGTCAGGGCCGTCTGTGAAGCGGCCTTGTCAACACCGATTCGAATGCGCACTGGCGTATCGCCGCGCACATCACGGGGGGACGGGATGGCAGCAGCAATGCCGACCAGCAGAGTAGTTATGGAAAATAGCCGCATATTGTCCAGTGCCTTACGACAGTGAAGTAGTAACGTGGGATGAAACGAAATACTCTTATGAAGATATGAGAGAATAATGAATGGGGAGTTCTGCTGTATCATATCCATTCATATCGACGGCCAATGAGACCTTTTATACTTATGAGCTCCCGTGGCTAGCCACGGATGAACGCGCGCCCTCAAACGAGAGCAATTATCTTACCACACGCCGTCAGTTGAATGAGTTGTGCCAAGGCTTTGAGGCCTTCATGGTCAGCGAGGCTGTGATAATATGATATTGATGGCTTGGCATAGTATCCTGCGTTTCTAAGTCTAGTGCTAGATACAAACCTTGATTAACAAACTGTCAGATGGAAGATGTATTGCTTGAAGAAGACTAACCGAAGCTGTTAGCAAGTTCCTATGACTATTGCCAAGCGTGAAGCTATTTCATTACCAGCGTAATATTTGGGGCACCATACAACGAGATTTTGGCCATGGAATCTACCGGTCGAAGTATTTGGGAAAGGCCGGGATTTTGTGTGTGTTATAGACGTTGTATATGAGGTATAGACCTAACAACTTCATACACAATGAACGATATATTAGTGCTCCTCGCAGAGTAACGAAGCTTAAATGCAAGTAGATTCGTAAGTATTCATGGCTTAGGGTCGGTTATTTCTATTGACAATGTTAAGGCGGCCTTCTTTCAGACTCACTGTAGTATTACAAGTGTCTAGATTCCCTCAGGCCTTGGCTTGGAAAGATCTTGTTTTAGGCTTGTAGTGGGGGATTAAGGGGCAAAGAGAAGAGTTTTACTAAATCAGAGCCGGTTAACACAGCAACAGTTAAGCATAGATATTACAACGGCTTGAGCCTTGAGACTGAGACTCTTTCAGGATTAATTGGTGAACAATCGATGGTATTCTTGTCCTATACTCAGACATGGGCAACTGTTGCTGGAAGCCCCCCAAATTAAGCCTCCACGCATGCTATCATGCCTAAAAAGGTAGTGTAGCCCAGAATGCCAGCCTCTTAAGTTATACTCGTATTAACCTTCTGAACAGACTGATGAAAGCTTTCTATGTCTTTCCTGTTTTGGCATGATACGACCTAGGTTTCTCTGCCAGCCACGGCTCGTGATCCTTGAATATGAATGATGTCTGCTTTGTCTTACATTATATAACACCACTGTTAAAAATATATCGCCCTTACCAATAAACAATCCTACCTTGGCAGAGGGACTTTGGTGGATGCATAGGTACTGCACTGATGCGGAAGTTGCCGATACTGAGCTGCGGCTCAGATTTAACGGCTGGCACCACCTTTGTAAGCAGCCGCTTGTCTTGTCTCGACTACGACTATTTACTTGGCGGCTGCTGTATAACTGTCAGAAGACAAGTATATTGTTACCAGCTAGAGCCGTCCATCTCTTCCTAGGTAGCCCTATCCAGCCCTGATTTGGCCCCCAAGCCGTTAGTTCATCTCTTGCCAAACTTAGAAAGACATCCATTAGAGTTTAGCTGCAGAATTAAGCTTATATGAGCCACCCCCGCCTTGAATTATCTCATCCTGATTTGATCCACAAGGCTTCTGCGTCCCTGCATGTCGAAAGGTAGTGTTTTCGGCCGTTGCTGCAACGGGCGCTCTGATTTGGTCTGATTAGACCATAGAAGTGTTATAGACAGGAAAGGCCCATGCATTTTTAGGTAGACGAGTCTCACCAGGGCTGAATCATTATGAGTCGTCCTCATCTGTGCGGGGTAATATTCACAACAATTCAAGCAGGCCTACTTTGTGGAAATGCCAAGTAGCGCTGTCCCAAGTTGCTGACATCAATTCAAGGATAACGTAGCATGTTGAGGCGGCGTGTGACGGGTACTGCTCAAAATTAACTCATCTCTTGCTCTTGATGAATAGAGATCAAAAGGTAAGGTAGGTGTTACTAAAGCTCCACGTTATTGTTGAGCCCGTCTTTGGCATCGTGTATGGAAAACCGCAGTGTAAGCCTTACCTGCGGCCGAAGTCGTCTAAAATTAGCAACGGCAACAGGACGCAATGGCAAAACCCAAAGGCATTCTAGAGAAACACATCGCTGCCCGAAACCCCTGTTATCGGTCTAGTTTGCCAATCGAACACATGCCCACTTTACTTTGCCCAAATTTATTGATACCGTGAACCCGCCAAGTCAATCAACTCAGTACATTTCGCGAAGCCTCCAGAGCTGGTTTAGGCAAGACATCGCAACCGTATTATCCACTGTCGAGATTTTATCCTATCGTAAAAAATGGCGTATCCGGGCGGCATTGACCTAAACTTCATTACCATCACGAATACGCCCGCCGAGGGTCGAGAAAGCCGTCGCAAATATGTTCACCGTAGAGTAATGCACAACTATCACAAGCGGAGACGCATGCGACGGTGTAACGATGATACATGCTTTGCAAAGACATCTTTACCGATAGATGCAGGAGTTCGGCAAGCCTCCGCGGGCCAAGATGAGGAGTCGATTCATCCCGTTGCACCAGTAATTTGGTCCATACACGGTAGCTCTTTTGGACCTGTCTGCCTATTGGTACCAAAGATTTGGGTAACCCCCGGAAATATTCGCACAAGCCAAACTATCATGCAATTTCTCCGCGGCTGCCCTCGAAGAAGTGGCCAGGACCTGGCAAATGTGCCTTTTGTACACCAACGGATCGGTTTGGTCACTGGCGCAAACAATCCGCTTCGAGCCTGCCAAAGTCTTTTCCGGAAGCATACTTCAACAAATGATGAAGATTTATGGACAGGGGTTCATAATATTCAAGAAGACATATATATTAAGGTATAAGAAGTCCGGGAAGATTACCGAATGAATGCTTGCTACTAAAATGTAGCTAAATATTATACACAGTGTGCCACTTTTGACAAGTGGAAACTCCTCGCTGCATCACAAGCCATGATGCTACTTATTTTACTCAGACTGCGTCATGGCAGCAACCACGATGCATTTCCGGCAGTTGATATTGCACTTCTTTATTCGTTACAGCTACGTACTGTATCCTGCTTGGTTACACACAGGCTAGGAACATAGCGTGGCATCTTGCTCACTGGGTGTAGCGAGTTTTTGTCCTACTCAGAGACAGCTTTTGTGATCGGGAGACCCTGCTCTCTGGAAATAGGGCCGTTCATGACTGGCAAGCATGGATCTTTCGAGAATCTTTAATCCGAACAGCGACCATTTACTTTTTGATGAGAATATTAGTGTCGACTGAGTGTGGAATCTCTTGCGATGGTCCGAATGATTGGCGCTTGGAGGAAATCCCACTCCTAGCCTCGAAGGCGGCATGGGAGGCTACAAATGAGATTGCGTGGGAGGCCGCATCTAGGATTTCCGTGGTACCATCTACGGTGTTAAGATACGGGGATTTGATTGGCACGGAAGGATATCATCCCAATTCTGGAACCGCGCATCAAATTGAGACATGGCTAGAGGGCGCCGACGAATTGGGGCTCATCACGAGTATTTCTAGCACTCTGGTTAATCAACACTACAAAACTTAGTCGGCATCGATGTACACGAGCCCGACATGTTTGGGAGAATATTGTGGTTCTGCATGTTTCCGGGAGGCAGAAAGAACAGAATGAGTTGAAAATCCGGCTGCGGCGTTGAGTGCCACTGACTCTCCATTATGCTGCGAAACTTATATATAGATACAAGGCCCTATGTGTTTGTAAAGACCCAGTGGACTCTAAACCTAATCCAAGTTAAGTTCTATTTCATCAAGCTCTCCGCTAGCCACCCTGCATAATACGCAATGTCAGCAACCTAGCCAGAATGCTCAGTCCAAGTGCTTTCAAATCAGGTATTGCTTTCGGCTATTTCCATCTTCAAAATTTTTTCTTCTATTACAGGCACATCTATGAGCTTTATTCCTTTGGCTTCTAAACAGCTGGGGCCGCCCTCGGCGGCTCACGACCATGAACCCTTTGAGTACAGGAGACAGCGGGCGGGTAAACTAAAGAGTCGCCTTGGATGCTTGACCTGCAAGGCACGTCGAGTTAAATGTGACGAGCGCAAGCCCATCTGCGCCCGCTGCGAGAAGACTCAGATGGTATGTAATGGATACATTCAACCAGAGCTTCGTAGCAAGATAGAACCTACCGGTTCTCCTCTGCATCCTCTCTTGCCTCGGGCCAGCACTGTCACCAAGCCTTCTCAGCGCCTTCTTAGCCAACTACCCCGTTCCTTTAATGGTCTTCCTACCGTCTGCGGGAAAAATGGGTCTTATTTCGACATCTTCCGGCACCATGTTGCTCCAGATCTTTCCCGGTACTACTACGCGGATCTGTGGTCTAGTGTTATCTCCGAAGGCCTGCAAGATGGATTTGTTCGCGAATTAATTTTGGCCATTGGAGCTCTGGCAAGGGCCATGGCCTCTAATCCTTCAACACAAAGGCGAGGATCCGCTGTACAGCATCGTCTGTCTATAATCGCTTCCTGGTCTCATCGGAATATAACCAATCATCATCATCGGGCATCAATCTTGCATCACCTTAGGGCCATATCAAGCTTTAGATCATCTATTCAAAACAGGGATAGTCATTTCCGACCGAGAAAAGTTTTTATTATGACGCTACTGCTTGTTGAGTATGAGATTCTTCAAGGAAACCTGAGCGCTGCGGACAGCCTTCTCTCCTATGGTCTGGGAATGTTTCGATATTCGACCACTCTTTTCCAAGATAATGCAATGACCATTGCGGAAATTATAGACGTCGAGCACATTCTCCCTTGTGTTGCTGTCATGGGCATGTTCACCCACCAGTTAAACTCATCCTGGACTCATATTCTTCAATTGCGAGCGGAGCCAGAGTTCAAGATTCCAGAGTTTGGCATCGATGATATCCCAAAGGTGTATTCATGGTGGGGAAGATTCTACACCCACGCAGTCACATGCCTATGTCAGATAAGCTACGGCAGAAAGTTGTCCATCTTTGAGGCGGTGGCTCGGCGAGGAAGCTTCTTATCGTGCCTAAGTCGATGGAAGTCAACTCTGAACGCTTACCTGGATAGTTGCGAAACAAGCACAACAGAAAGGCGGGCTCTACGTCTCATATTTATTCACTGGCAAGTCCTCTGGGTAAGTGTTAACTGTTGTCTGGACCCGACAGGTGTGGCCTTTGATGCATTCACAGATGAGTTTAGCGATATGCTTTGGCGCTCGGTAAAGTTTATTAAAGATGATATCTCGACCGATACGCCTCTATTAATGACTTTTGGCGAGGGAATCTTCATGCCACTACTCTGTGTGGTAGCTTGCTGTAGGGACCACGACTTGCGTATGACGGCAGCAGCTGTTGCCTATGGGCTGCCATGGCAAGAAGGAACTTGGGATACTCGAGTAGTCCTGCTTGGACAACTAGGCTCTGTTATAATGGAAGAAAAGGGGAGGGATGAAAGCGGCTTTATCCCCCCTACATCTAGATGGTACTGGCGAGGAGGAGATATCCACCCAAAAAGCAGGAGGATGACATCTCGCTATTTGCAACATGTGCCTGGCGATCATGAGAAAACTGTAACAAAGTCATTGAGTATAGACCTCGACCGATGGCCGGACATTTGCTCTGCGGTGGGATGCGTGAAAGATCACGCGGCGATCATAAATAGTTTAGCTTAGGCGAAGGACTCCTTTTTTTCAATATTTTCTTTTTTAAAGAATAGAGCACATGTAAGTATAGATTACAGATTCAGTTAATAATAAGGTTAAAGAGATATTCAGCTGACTCAGCCACACTATAGCATCCAATGAACGAGAACGAAGAGACGCTCGTTTAGGGGAACCAATCAACGGTTACCCTCGCAGTATCAGCACTAGCATTTCGTTCTGCTTCTAACCGATCCTTTGTGCTTATGCTCATTATGACTGTAGCCTTCCCGCTATCGAGAATTATCTCCAATCGAGTCGCCAGAGCTGTGATGGCTCCATAGTAGGGGCCGCTGCCAAGCTAAAGAAGCCATATCCAAGGAGCAGCCCAGACGATGTTCCATGATAAATATTCCATCCGCGCGAAATGAAGATTCCCTTGCCTTTTCCCTTCTAGAGTTGTTCAAGAGTTACGCGTAGAGACAGAGCTTTTGCTTTTACTCTTGTCCATCTTTTTTTCCTGCATTGCTCACCCATCCATCGCGCCTTTCACCATGCCCAAGACAATCTTGTTCTTTACGAATTCCGATTACGGCCAGGCTAATGTGGTCCTAGCTGCAGCGTACGAGTTGGCTATTCTGGCCAATGATGTTGAGATTCATATTGCGTCCTTTGAGGGCCTCGAGCAGGCAGCCCTTAAGACCAATCAGCTCGTTGTGGATAATTCTCCGGGCAAGCAATCATCGCGCCTGATTTTCCACAGACTGCATGGGAGATCCCAATTTGAAGCATGTATAGGGCCGGATGTCGACCTATTCAAAGCATACGACCGACCTCCTACTTTCTTCAATGCGGCACGCACGATTCTCTGCATCGAGGGTATCATGCAACCTTGGAGCTCGGAAGAGTTTGTCGATTTGTATCAGCAAAGCCTATTTATTCTGAATAATGTGAAACCTGATTTGACTGTTGTCGAGCCACTTTTCACGCCCGGTCTTACTTTGTGTAACCATCTGGGCATCAACTGGATCGTACTGGCGCCAAACACGATTAAAGATTTTGCGGTTCCTCTGCAACCAGGGCTTGCAGCTCTGTGGAGGTATCCCATGTAAGTTGAATACAAAATATTCCATGTACTGATTTCTGATGAAACAAATCCAGAGTCTGTTCAGGAATGCCATTTCCGCTTCCTGTTTATCTCATCCCTGCCAATATTGCTCTTAATCTCGTTGCTGTATACATGCTACTTACGGCCCAAAGAGTCAAAAATGCCGAGACGTTGTTGAAAAGTCGGGTTGGAGAGAGCATCCAACTGATGACTGCCAACGAATTGGGCGTGTTGAAGCCTGCCCCGGCTGGGCTACGGATCCTTGTCGCGAACAGCGCCGATCTGGATTACCCCTTTGACATATTACCTTCCCATGTTATCCCATGTGGTCCTATTATTCGTCCCTCCCTTGATCTCGGTAAAGTGGATCAATCCTTGGAAATTTGGCTTGCTAGAGAGCCCACGGTCTATGTCAATCTTGGCACCCATCTAGCGATGACCAAATCGGAAGCGGTCGAAATGGCAGCTGCCTTTCGTCAAGTTTTAGATATGGCAGACGCGAGGGGTCGAAAATTACAAATTCTATGGAAACTCAAGATCAAAGGGGTGGCAAGTGAGGACAAGGTTGCTCCAAACGGCCCAGAGCAACACGAGGAGGACGTTTACAATGCCATTCGTAGGCACTTGGGGAAAGAGATAGATAATGACCAGATCAGACTCACGAATTGGGTTACGGCTGAGCCAAAATCTGTGCTCGAATCTGGTCATATCATCTGTTCAGTGAACCATGGTGGTGCAAGCTCCTTTAACGAAGCATTGTGGTAAGTATCTCAATTCTACTAACTCGCATTCTGAATGAAAGATTCTAACAACTATTATTCCGAATTGTAGCGCCGGGGTCCCGCAACTTGTTTTGCCAGGGTGGGCAGATTGCTATGATTTTGCCAACAGGGCAGAGCTCATTAGAATCGGCCGATGGGGGAACAAGAAGGCAAAGCCGAGATGGCAGAAAGATGAGCTATGCGAAACCCTTGCGCAAGTTATCTTTGGAGCCGAGGCGGAGGAAATCAACCTACAAGCCAGAAAGTTCGCTCGGAAATATGCCGAAGGGGATGGGAGGCGCTTCGCGGCGGAGGTTCTCTTGGATGCTTTAGTGACAAGCTCATAATAGTTGTAACGACTTTGGCTATAGATAATACATATATTCCGTTAATACCTGTCACTGCGAGATTAATATGGACCAAAACTTCGCTGTCTCTATTGAATGACTATTAAAAATTACTCTATAATCTAATTAGTAAAGGAGGATATCGGTCCTCGCTCACTGTTGGCGACGTAGGCGTGAAATAACATCCTTGTTAGGCTAACTGCAAGCTTCAAGGCTCTTTAGAATTCCGTAATCAGAGACGCTTATTCTCTCCATCCAGATACCACTCGAAAATATTTCCGAATACCTTCTTTGCTTCACTTTCAACGACATCTCCGTGACAAGGTATAATGCGATCGAAATCCCAGCTGTATATACGTTGTAATGACGTGGCAAAGGCGGCACGGTCTTTCGCCCCTAGAATATACCATGCTAGGCGCTTTTGCCATGTCGCAGGATATACCGTGGAGAAGATTGGTGACACCAACTTTGTTAAAATTCCAGACGTTGGCGATTGGCCTGACTTGGAGAATTGCTCGACAGCAGGTACATTAAATAAAAGGTCTGCTTCGATGACTGTATGAGTGGGCTTGTGGAACAAGACAATTTCATGAGACTCCATTGAATCAATGTATTGTACATCGAACTCATTGTCAAATTCTTCCGAGATGTGTTTCTGGCTTTTTGACGCAGTGTAAATGATGTCGAATATCTCACGGCCTAAGCCCAGCTTTTTGGTACATTTTTCAGGTAGGCCTTCAGGGACAATGAGACATGCGTCGGGAAATTCTGCTTTCCATGAGCCGATTTGCATGTAATGCTCTAAATTTGGAGCAATGATGTATTTGACTGTGCCGTTCGTTGCAATCAGCGCATTGCGCACGACGTCCGTCAATCGCACCGGCGATATGACTGCAAGTGAGCCGGATTGAAGTTGCACTGTAATAAGGTTAGAGGAAGAAGAGTCTCATAGACGAAGACAGCTTACCGATTGTTGTACGCCCACCCGTTTTGAGAAGCCCCAACTGTGCGAAAGGAATGCTAACGGTAGTGATATTGGGGCTTACTTGGCGAAGTACTGTTGAGTCGGAGTCATGTTTGCCTAACACTAGCTCATTTTTTGGAGACATCTTTCACACGCTGGCGTTTACAATCAAATAGAGGAACAGAAATATTATGTGGTGTTTCATTGCGATTCCGATAGCCAACACCGAGTACAATGCCAATATTTATAACGATTGGAAGCTCTCCAGAGAGATTCAGCTGCTTTGCCGATATACGTCATCAAGAAAGCCATCAGAACCGAATACACTGATCGTTCTACACGGACAGCCGTGTTGATTTGGTGCGCGGAGCGGGGCCGACCCTTGCCATCAGCAATCGGTGCTAAGCCTCGTTGCTGGTATTAACTCAAATCTTTATACTAAATAATACAGTGTACAGTTTCGATCCATCCTAGTAGTGAGGCCACCGAAGATATGTGATATATTGAACCATAATTTTACCTACTCCGCGTGATTCACAAATGGCTTGGCTTGACTGGGATCGGAAAACAGCCCGCCGGCTGAGGGCAGTCTAATAAGAACTTGCAGGTATGAAGCTGATTGATGTTGAGATGGCGCCGTCTGTAAGAAAGGGGCATTTAGAAAACAAGTATAAATATCTCTAATACGCCTTGGGTTTCTAAACTCAAGCCAGTCAACCGAATCAGCAGCTCTTGGTGATTTGAGCCGGTCTGATAGCAACAACAATGGCAAAACTTTCTCTACCATATCTTCTGGCTACACTTGTCGCCTATGCCGCCGCTGATGGTGAAGTTCTTCGACACCCAAAGCAGCCATGCGCCCATCTTAAAGCTCCATGCATCCCTGGTGCCGAAATCATATCGATTAATGGGACAGAGTTATGGAATTATACCGTCTCCGCCGTCCCAGGGCTTCTCCCGAGTCCAGTTACCGGCCTGGACGTATGTGCCGTCGACGTGGTTCTTACCCATCCAGGCGCACATGACAAAGTTCTCGTCAAAGTCTGGATGCCCCTAGAGGGTTGGAATGGGAGATTTCAAGCCAACGGGGGAGTCGGCTTTGCAGCCGGCGAACTGGATCTTACCCTAGGCCCTACCATCAAGCAAGGATACTCCTCCGCATCTACCGACGCTGGTGTAGGCTTCAACCCCTCATCGCCTGAGGCCTGGGCCTTACGACCAGACGGTTCTGTGAACCGAGATGCACTCATCAATTTCTCCTATCGCTCAGTCCATGATATGGCGTTGATCGGCAAGGAGATTACGAAGCAATTCTATGGCCAGAAGCCCAAATACTCATATTGGAATGGATGTTCAACAGGCGGACGGCAGGCAATGGTTGCGGCGCAGAGATACCCAGATCTTTTTGATGGAATTCTAGCAGGCGCTCCTGCAATCTACTGGACAACATATGTTATTGCAGAGCAATGGCCGCAGGTGGTAATGAAGATGGAGAAGTCGTTTCCTTCGCCCTGCGAGCTAAAGGTATTTACCGACGCAGCTATTGCTGAATGTGACGGATTGGACGGCGTCGTCGACGGCGTCATTAATGATCCAGATGTTTGCCACTTTAATCCATACGCACTGGTTGGACGAAAGATCCCTTGCGACGGGATGAATGTCACCATCACAGAAGCCACCGCTAGTGTTGTTCAGAAGGTGTTCCAAGGCCCCTTCGGACCAGATGGAGAGTCAAGGTGGTATGGCCTGAATCCTGGCGCTGCGTTGGACAGCCTTACGAACACCAATGTAACTCATGGGAAACGAGTTGGTGCTCCTTTTTTCGTCAACGATGCTTGGATCAGATACTGGATCGCGAAAGACCCCAATTATGATCTGAGCAAAATCAACTACTCCACGCTAGATCGGCTCTTTGCTCAGTCAGACAAGGAATATGACGCCATCATAGGGACTGATAACCCTAACCTATCCGGATTTCAAAAGTCGGGCGGGAAATTGCTAATGTGGCACGGCCTTTCCGATCAGCTTATTTTCCCCAAAGGGACAGTCGAATACCGGAACAGAGTTGAGCGACTGATGGGCGGCTCTGAAAAAGTCAACGAGTTCTTTCGGCTTTTCCTTGCTCCCGGTGTGGACCATTGTGCAGGCACTCCGTCTCTCGGGGCGGTGCCCACGGATCCGCTTGCGGCTCTGGTAAACTGGGTGGAAAACAAGAGGGCGCCTCCCAACTTGGCCGCGGAGATAGCGGGATCTCAAGGCGGCGCTCGCATTATCTGTCCTTATCCCCAGATTGCCCAGTACATTGGAGGAGACACAAAGTCCGCCAATAGCTTCAAATGCGTTTGAGCTGGCTGTGCAACGCAAACTGGGACTCGCTAGCAATACGCGTGTAAAACTTCGTTTTGCCTTCTCTTCAACTTCCACCTATTTAATGTTATTACAATTTAGTATTTGAGTTTCCTTAGTCCAATAATTCATAGTGTCAGATTTTAGCTTCGAATCGCCCATTCTTAACAGATCGCTACCAGGGCTTTATTCAGGATTCGCGGGGCTGAGTCGACAAGTCATGGTCAGCTCGGCGAATCCTTCGTTGCCGCGACGCTAGCGGACTCTCCTTCAAATTGACATCGTGGCACGTAGCTGCTGAGACTATTTGTTTGACAATAGACCTTGGCTGACAAGAGATGACTATCTCTCTATTCTCTTCCTAGGAACCAAGATGACAACTTCGACTGCTAAAGACGGTTGTGCACTGCAAGCGTGTAGCAATTGCAGAGTGCGGAAGAAGAAGTGCGACAAGGTCTTTCCGAGTTGCACAACTTGTCGGAAGTGAGTTAATTCATCTCCAATCTATATCTGAAACTTTCTGATAATCAAAGGAAATTCATAAACTGTAATTATGAAGAGAATCGTTCTCAGCACGAGATACGCACGCTTCGCTCACAACTGGAGTCTCTATCAAACGGATTGACCGTCGCTGGCGGGCCTTCACTCATTCCGTTATCCTTGGACTCCACCACACAGCATTATCCAATTCCATCTCAATGGTATATGCCATTCTTGGTCAACCACTGTAAGCTTTTCCTAGAGAGGGTGTTGCGCTCGAGTGTATGAGTAAACTCACCGCCCCGCTGATTACGACCTCTGCTTCCCGAGGTCTCTTAGAACCAACTTCAATCACGCCCCGGAATACTCAAGGAATCAATGGATGCAAGCCTCCTTCCAAGACCCATGCATGTTCCACGCAATTCTTTTTGCTGCATCATCACATCTGGAGGTGGTTCGAGGAGAAAATGGCAATCCCGTAACTCATTATCATCGGCGACAGGCGATAAAGCTCCTCTTGGAAAATATTTCAGCCTCTCGAACTGTATCCGACACTTCAATAGCTACGGCAATGTATTTATGGCATTATGAGGCAAGTAGGTTGTACAGATGAGACGTTGGGCCAAGGCTAACAACATAGCGAAGAGCATGAATAGCCACCTAGATGAAGCAAGGATCCATAAACAAGGCTTACTACAAATGATAAATGCAAATGGAGGCCTAAGAAAGCTTGGTTTTGATGGGTTCTTATCACATATGATTACACTGTAAGTCGACCCGTTAGTTCCATAACTCTACGGTCAGTACTTAACTGTTCATTCAGGATCGGCTTTGGCGACGCCATTTTGAGTGCCTCGAAACCAGTCTTTGGAACCGTAGACGGATATGAAGTTCCCGAGGCACCAATTACCCTTCTATCAGCTATCTTGCAACGTCCGGAGAAAGTATTACATTCCAGTGGGCTCAATGGGTCGTTATTATCCCTGCTTCATGAGGTTCATGATAATTTACTTACTTTCGGTCCACAAAACATACCAGGAGACTACTGGGAGATGCCTTTATATATAACAGATAAGTACCTGGATGGAGATTTTGACGAAGATGGCCCTTTCTATGCTGCATGTTGGCACGCCGCGAGTATCTACCTAAATTCTCTTAAGCGTGGTATACCTTTCTCATCCGACGAGAACCAGATATTCGTGGAAAAGTTACGATCCTGTATCATGGTCTTTCCCAAAGACAATGACAGGGAGCTGGATAGAGAGATTTACGTATGGCTATGTTTTACGGGCGCCGCTGTTGCTAACAGAGACAAGACATGGTTTCTTGCAAAGGTCGGTCCCACAGTTATGTCGCTAAGTCAAAAACAGCTGGGTGATTTTAAGAGAGGTGTTATACAATTTGCTTATATTGTCCAAAAACTGGAAAGCAGCAGACAGGTATGGTGAGGTAGAAGTGTAAATTCAGATCTCTGTAATATTAATTTGTAATTTAGAATTAGCTATGTATGAAACAATACTGCTCTACAAGGTCCCACAGCGTAACACTCTCGTGTTATGAATTATGCATTTGATGTATACTTCTGGGGGTCTCATATGTGATGTTGCAAGAAAGTCTAGAACATTGATGGAGAAATAGCCTGCATATGATCAGTAATGCCAGTATTTCTTGATTTCCCTTAGGCCCTGAACAAGAGCAGGCGGGTTGTCCAAGCCACCAAAATGTCCACCAAAATCCCACGCTATATAAGTGTTAGAAATTGTAATACAACATTGAAAGGCCAAGGGTAACTGACATCTATAGTAGACAGGATTGGTCAGAGGACGTATAATCTGTTCTGGGATGAAGAATGTATCATATTTAAAGTTGGAAAACAGAAATGGAGCATCTGTCTTTGCTTTTGACAGAGGAACGGCAAATGACGACGGATTCTGGTTATAAATGTAGGCAGCGGAAGTAAACGACTGTGTGAGATAATATAACGAGACGACCCGAAGGATTTCATGGTCATTCAAAACGGACGGCCCGGTGCCACGTCGCGGATTAGACCCTATGTCATATTGTTCGTTAACATGACACAAACGAACATTCAATCAAACAAAAATAGCACAAAATTGAAGCGGGAGGAGCTTACAAGAGATGTATTTCTCCGAAATCCACGCAAGCTGGCCAACGGGATTGTCGTACAAAGCCAGGCCGATTGTGTTTGGCTAAAAATAGCGATTAGGCATGCAGCTCTGGGAATTGGTAAAAGCAATGTGCGAACTTACTTTAGTTCTCTGTTGAACTGCATATGCACTGCCACCAACAGAATTGTCAACCCAAAGTTGCTCGCTGAACGTATCCTCTTTAGAAAGCGTTATATTGTCTGCTTCCAGCTGCTCGGGTTGTAGCGGAAGCTCTGGGAAAAGCGCCATGTGAGTGGCGCGAACAGATTTTGGGTAGGAATTATATAATGACCAGCCAATAAAGGCTCCCCAGTCAGAACCATGAACTGCATAGGTATCATAGCCCAGCACTTCCTGCATGAGGGTGTTGAATACACGTGCAGTGTCGTCAATGGTCCAATTCTTTGGAGTAGGCGAAGAGAAGCCGAATCCAGGAAGAGAGGGAATAACGACATCAAACGACACCTCATCGGGGCTTGCCATATGAGAATAATTCTTGAGTGTCAAATTGTTTATGACGGGCAGCATTTCCAAAAACGATCCTGGCCAACCGTGAAGTAGGATGATCGGAATAGAGTTCCGCGCTTGGGAGACTTCATGGATGAAATGAATTGTTTGGCCGTCGATAGTCGTCGTAAAATGTTTCAACCTTCAATGAACATATTAGCAGTCTATTCATCATCAAATAATTACTATACGCCGTTTCATACTGATTTAGTTCAAGTTGTTCTTTTTCCCAGTCGAAATCGTGCAGCCATTGGCTACGGAGACTCCCGAGCTTGGATAGAGATATACCGGTGTTCGTTGAATCATTCCTGCTGTTGATAGCAATTTCTAACTCGCTCGAAGGTAACTCAGTTCTCTTTATCATATCGACCATATGCGGTACGCGATGAGAGAGGTCAATCTTAAAACAGGATATCTTAGGCCTGGCTGCTTCACCTAGGACCTCTATGCTCAGAAACACCAGAGCAGATAACATATAAAGCAACAGCGTCATTGTCCCTAGAAATATCGAGAGGGTTTAAGATAGAAAAAGAGACTGTAATGTATTGATAATGTCTGATAAAATCTGATTTCTTACATCTTTATATACACAGCACCTTACGACTCTCTCGTCCTCTTCCCATTTTTCGACAACAGATTACAAAGTGCGCCCCACCATTTGTAAATTGCCTTTCACTTTGTTTACTACCTACATGTCCCAGGCGATATGAGTGAATCTGAGGGCCGCGCGGTTGTCAAATCTGCAATAGATTGATTAGATAAAAAGAGGTTCATGTCTGATGCCTCGATCGGATCTCGGATCGCTCCATAATCTTGCTTCTCTGCGCCGCGCGCTTGTTACACCCAAAATCGCAGGGATGATCTGACTTGATTAAGCCCAGGCATATTAAGAGGAGAATACGAGGCGCTGCTTATTGGTTTTTAACATCTCGGGCGAAGAATTGTGGGTGCCTTAAGCCTGTGGATGTGTTAATCAACCGCGCGCGATGATATGTCAGCTCACAGCTCCCCTACACACCCCTACCATTGAGGATACAAGACCTTGTGCTGGACTATTTCTGTAGATAGATTGCATAGATCGAGGAGATGTACATCTATTTTGTAACTAGCAACTTGGAGTATATGCTTAAGCTGAACATAGGGTACCCATGAAAGCTGTGCATGAAACGTAATTGGAATTTAAAAAAAGGAATTCCCAATTGCATCATAAATAACTCTCTCAATAGGATATCGAGTCTGGTTATTATAAACCGGGTCGTCTTGCGGAATTTCCTGGCTCCAGGCTAGCATGACTACTCCCTTCTCTATATCGCAGTGCCAGTTAACGTTGGTGAAGCCAGCCCAAGCCAAGGTGAACTTTCCTCGGCCTGTCTCAAATCCTTCTGGAAAAAGCAGTGCTCCAAGGCCCCACTGCTTGGGTGTTCCTGGGAATAGAACCCCGCCGTCATTGGAGGCTTGAGAAGGTTGGTTAAGGCCGTTTTCAACCTCATCCCCAGAAAGTTGCGGAGTAAACATCTGAGCTACGAGCTCGGAACTCAGAACTCTTTCACCTGTCTTAGCTATAGACACCCATCTATTAGTTTATACACTCGATTTTGAACAGGTTAAAATGAAGCACTCAAAACAAGTGCCTTTTATGGTCGTATAGTCTTTGTTCAAATGGGGAATAAATGGTGACACTTACGATGAACTCCTTGATTAATTAGAGGCAAAAGAGCTAGTCCAAGGGCGTTGATAGTGCCAAAGCCTCCAGCTCCTGCGCTTTCAAATTTAATGTTTGCGTCGTCGTAGATCGGCGCTCTTGGAATAAGCATATCTGGGCTAACTCTGACATGTTGGCCCACGAGCCTAGCTCTTTGTTCACTATCTAGGGTAAAGGCGAAGTCCTTTGCTTCTACCCCTGCAGGATCTAGCAAATTGGTTCGAATGAACTGGCCCAAGCTGACATTAGTCAGGGCCTCGACAAGCAGACCGCTATAATCAGCTTCAGCGCCATAGCGCCAAATCTGGTTCGGGTTGGCAGCATGTGAACCCTCGTAAACGCTTTCATTAGTTGGGAAAAAAGCCTTAGGGTCGGTAACAATCGTTTCCGGATTCAGAGCAGCCAGGATATCTACTACAGGATAGGCGTTTCCAGCTGTAAAAGTGAGCAGATTGCGAACAGTAATATCGCCAACTCGAGGCTGGGTAGCCGAGCTCGGGTCATTAGGATCAAGTCGCCTAAATATAGAGTTGTCAGAGAAATCTCGCCTCTACAAGTCACCAGAGAGCACGGAGCAGTTACATACACTTCTTCTTTAGCTAAGCCGGGTAAATGATCCAAAACGCTATCATTAATCCCAATCAAACCCATGTCAATGCATTTGAGAAGTGCCATTGCCCCAAGGATCTTGGTATGAGAGGCCAGCCAAAACATCTACGATGGTTAGTACAGTGCTCGGAAGAGTATGAGTGAGAATGATTTTTGATAGGTGCGCTAAATTTCGGATCAAAGTCAGTTGCTCACATCATCGAATCGGAGAGGTTCCGAAGACCCAAGCTGTCTGGTCCCGGCTGTGCTTTGATACAAAACATCGCCGGCCCTAGTCAATGCAAGAAAGTTCTGGAGGGGAGCTGCGTCAGGGATTGTAGAGGCAACAATAGCATCGGCCTTAGCTATGTTTCCATAAAGGTTACGTATTGATGTCAATCATGTTTCCAGATGGCGAGAATAATGGATAATTACTAACTTTTTATTTCCTCCTTGATTGTACCAAGATTTGTTGCAGCTCCGAGCCCATTGGGCAAAAGGGGAGCACATGTACTATCCATGGGAAAAATTGTTTGTTAGTTGAATTACAAAAGACATGGTTTAATATTTGATGTAACGTGAGCTCTATATATATTGCGGATGAGTATCGAGTAAACAGTTTCCAGATCTTGAAGCCTCGGTATTATACCAAATGGCGCTGATTAATCCGCAATAAGGCGTAAACTGCCCTAGCTGGAGAGTAGCACTTTCTATAACAGGGAATATATTTTACAGCCCCATTTATGTTTATACTATTGCTAGATCGCTAACGTTATTATCATAACAAACTACGGAGTACAGGACAGAGAATGCTTCGATTGACGATATTGTGGAGCTGTTCGCTGAACTACGCAACCCCGGATTTGAAGCTGAACTTGAAGCGCGGCTCTCGGCGATGTGGAGAAATCGCAAAAGGGAAATTCACAACAACCTAATTCAGTAACTCTCACTCGTATTCTCCACACGGGTGGGTAGTGCATGAGATGCTCAGCCCACATGTGACCTTGTACGGAGGCTAATTTTGTCTTTAACTGCACCTGGGGTAGCACTGTCGTAACCTTGGAAGTAAGAATCGAAGCAGATGAGAGGGAAAGGCAATAATTTTATTTCATCTTCAGTGTATTGGTAGAACAGTAAGGCTCAAGTTGGCGTTGAGAGACAGGACACCTCATTTCGTATCCTGCGTTTAGACATCTGAACTCATCTTCGCCTTTCACCTCTCTGGTCATCACTGGTTTCAATAGCCTAGTGCTTTTAGTATAACCTTATAAAAGGAGCAAGTGACGGAAACAATCCATGCACTACTGGAAACATTGACGACAGGTAAAGTAATACTATGTGAAATGCATTTATTAAAACTCAAGACAAAATTGTAAAAGAACGACATGAACAGAAAGATGGTCTAACTACTCTAATTATGGAATATTAATAACGTTCCATAGCTTGATATCCACTCAGTAGCGATAGAAAGTGTTATCGAGCTTATAACCCAGCATCGTATTGCTAGCATTAAATATCTTGGTGGCTGGTGAACTCATTTGTTTCACCTTCGGCCGAGCCTCATCCTGTGCCAGATTAAAAGCCTTTGTAACAACTTTTGTCTCTTTAGTGGGAGCTGGGGGCACGGGTGCAGTCGAGTTGACCTGCCGGCAGCCATGTGTTCCCGCCATCTTGGCTGGCGTAAAACTTGTCGGTAAATTGATCAGGGCTGGTGGGTCGCAGGAAATCATCCATTGTTCGAGCTTGGATACCCGGTCTGCCGGGATTGGTCAGGGGCCAGGTGATGAATCGAAAGTGACCCCCTTCCTCCCAACCAACAGATGTACCAGGTCCACTGTTGCCTCCACTGTCACTGTAAGTGTAGTTGAAGATTTCGTTCTCGGTGTCGTAAGTGATGACAGAGTGGGCTGTGAGCAATGGACTCGGTTGAATGGAGTCCAAGGTCAAATTATCCTTGGTGATCTTGATGGAATACGTAAGGTTTGCACCGGCGCCGCTGCCACCTCCACCGCTCCCATTTGCTTCACCCTGCTGAAAGCAGTTCCAATCGCCAACAAAGGGAAGCACCCAGTTAAGCCCTTTTGGGCCTAAGGGAGAGGCGGTTGGCTGCGCTGAGCCAGGTAAACTCAAAAGAGTTAGGCACAGGAGGCCAATTGACGAGAGTGTGTAAGATTTGGTAGACATGATTGCGTTGTGGTTTAAAGATATGGTTGATAGGTATGTTGAGTTGTCTGTAGTTGGAAGATGTTATTGAACTTGGTTGTAGAGTAATGAGACTTCATATCTGGAGGGAGTAAAGAGATGATATATATGTTAAAGGTTTATTGCATTAAAGACTCAGGTTCAATTGTGGCGTAGCACGTAGGAGTCGTGGACACTAGGAACTCGGTGAAGTCGGCGACATGACGTGTCCGCTCACTCCTATAATACGCATAAAGAAAGGGCACAAGTGTATCATCTCCCGATGGACTCATTGAGAATCACAAATAAAATTGACGTGTGGCCTATATCTTGGCAATTTGACATTTATTGAATACGTAAGGACGGATCATCGGTGCGATAGAACGGCGAAGGTGGCGGTGTGATGCTTCAAATAGCTGAAAAGCTTGCCAATTGTATCGGCTCTCGGCGATCTACTTACATATGAGCCAACTTATATCATTTATTGTGCACAAATGTTTTCACTTGTGATATTAGTTGGCCTTGATGTAAGTTATCCACTTGTCATTGATGAGATGTTTCTAAATATTAGGTACATAATCGTTCTTGGTTGTAAATAAGGCCAATTGAGAATGGATTTCTTCTCAGGGCAACAAGTATGAAAGCAAAGCTCTATATCTTACCAGCAAAGTTGTACGATCACCAGAGTTTTGTAGAGAGCAACCTTTGCATCTCTCGTAGATCTTCAAAGTCGACAAAAAGCTCATTTACCAGCATTATCGTCGATTACAAACCCGTGATCCCTGAGCTGATTAGTTGCGAGCGTCCAAAGCCTGTCGACACATTTTGCATCATCCAGCCACTTGTTTTCCTTCGTTCCAACCTTCCCAAACGGCGTGAAATAGCGGCCAGCATATGAGGGAGCATTGGGGCTTGTAGCACAATACAAGCTGGTGCGTGCCCCATCAATTTTGAAAGAGTCGGAAAAATTCTCATCGCGGTTCGAGACAACATGCCGAGAAAGGAAGTATCGTGGCTCTGGAGATTTGACTTGATTAGGCCCGGATGTAAAGAATAAGCTGTAATGCCGAGAGCTTTGTAACGGTCTGTGATTGCCTTGGCAGCAATGATACTGGCTTGCTTCGAATGACCGTAACGTTTCCTAGACAGAAAGTAAGAAATATGTCAGCGCATTGTGCCTCCTGTGCATATATGCTGGTTCCGAGCTCGCCATTGGCGAGGAGTTGATGCAAAAGACGAAAGGTAGCCAGCTTTTTATCGCGAGTGGTAATATTGCTTACCATGGGGCGGTTACTCCTTTCACATCAGCCAGATTTGGATCTTTTTAATTGATGCTATCCGGTCCCATGCTTATAGCAGCATCACTTGAGACGTTTACAATTCTCACTCGGTCTCTGCTGTGGCTACTTTGGGCAGCCGAACGTAGAAGAGGAAGTAAACACATTGTGAAAGCATGGTGCCCGAGAAAGTTAGTTTGCCACTGCAATTCGTATCCATCCTTGGTTAGCTCGTAAGGACACGCCATTATCTGTGGTGGAAGCAGATTTGTTAGCAGATATTACTCATATTTGTTGAAAAAGACTAACGCCGGCATTATTGATGAGTATATCAAGACGGGTCTCCTTTGGCGAAAATTTCTCAGCCGTAGTCTTGATGCTCTGAAGATCTTGCAAGTCTAGCTTGAGAAAGTGAATGTCTAGACCACTGTTTCCGGTTTTCATCGCCCTGATTGCCTCATCGACACGGGTTTTAGATCTGCTTGCGATATATACTCGGGCTCCATGATTAGCCAACTCTCGCGTTGTTTCGTATCCAATGCCAGAATTGCCTATTACCTCGATAAGTTACTTTACAATCCTATTCCCAGGCATAGAATGTAGTGGCCAAATACTTACCGCCTGTTACAATTGCAACATAGCCACTCAGATTAGGCATATCAGCCACTTGAAACTCTTCTTCCTTTTGGCGCGTCATAATGCCTGGTGATCTTTGATAGGTTAGGGGGTTTCGCCGCTCAAAATGGATGATGAAAAGAAGTGAAACGAGCCAAGAGGTCTTTCGGGTATCAACTTTTTGCGTTGTTCTGAATAAATCGAATAATAATGAGTGTATTCAAGAGCTTCCAACCCCAAAGACATCTTTATATATTTCCCACGCGTTTGAACAACCTTCATCGCTTCTTTCGTTGGTATGTATGTGTTTCGACCGAAGGTGGGCCGCCTCAGAGGCTGCCGGACTTGCGGAGCCTCATCCGCGGAATTCCACGGATCTCGCTCTTACATACTGAACGTACCTACAGAACTTACACAGCCATCGCCTGAACAGAATGTGTAGTTTCCATTCTCTATGAGGACTAATCAAACTATACCTGAGTACACTACAAATAAACTATGACGACGATCGAAGACGCATACGTTCATCAGAACTTAGCTGGGCTAAAATTGGGCTGGTCGATCTTCATTGTTGTAAATCTACGTATCCTTGATGTAAATTATTCATCAACGCTTTCTCATGTTTGATGCCTAGTACCAGAATGAGTTAGTAATAGAGGCTACACAGGCGACATGAAGACAATCTCTGTCATTGTAGGATGCTGGTTGCAAAGTAAGCTTAAAATTCTTCCAGCCTAAATAAGCGTGCTGTCCCTCTCCATTTCCTTAAGAAATACATGTGTAAATCTAGTTACACAAACACTGCACATCTTGCTTTTAAAAAAAAAGAACAAGCTGCATAATTGCAGGTTAATTATGCTCGAGACTACTCGGGAATTGCTAGTACACTAGGCCTCATTCACTCTTGTTCAATCGAATATTTGTAAAGAATGATAAATCCTTCATTTTGTCGCTTAGACTTAGGTTCAATAGTAAACCTCGGCCATAAGGGGCTCGACTCTATGGACATGTCCGCGGGCTCCGACCTCCTATCACCTGATATACCTGTGAAGCGTGATTTGTGCATCCTCATTCCAGTAGTCTTTGTAATTGAACATCGGAGTTATTATCACCGTTGCCCAAATCCGGAGCGCTAGCGACTTGGGGCCTAGACCGTGGCGTAGATGATAAGTCCAAAGCTCGAATTTTCCGTTGGAATTGTCGAGCGGAATTTCATAAGTTGAGAAATAATAGCTGGACAGCTGAAGTTTCGGCGATCAATTTTCTTCAAGCGCCTCGTGATTCCCCGCGAGAATTTTTCAAGAAGAGCTCCCACGCGTTCTGTCAAAGCATAAGTAATGGCACGTCAGCATATAGCACTTATCCAGCAAACCGTCAGGTTTACGCGGGTTATTTGTAGGTACATACCCAATCTATCATATCTTGGCCATTCAAAAATGAATCCATCTCATTGAGAAATGGTGTATCGGTGGTCTGTGAGGTCTTTAGTGTACCTAATTGACGCTCCACGCCCTCTGACGTGCTTGGTTCCAGCATAGGATCTAATCAAGTAGGCAAAGGTTAGCACATGATAAAAACAATACCGTGTAGTCGGCAGACTTACCGTCATCCATATGCCTAGATACTGTATGGTTGCCGTTATCATGCTCAGCGCCCCTCTCCATAAGACGTCGCTCTCTCTCTACCTGTGTACCCATCGAAACCCTATCTAGCATGACTGAGAGCATATCGAATGCTTTTTGCGCTTCAAAGGAGTCTGATTTAAGCCTATGCCAAGATAATTTGGAAGTTTCCAGTGCTTTGATCAATTCTTGACGGTCAAACTTCACCAATCCGGTTATTTCGTGGTCGTGTTCTGGACTAGATTGGGTCTGTGAGGTGAGCTCGAGGCAGACAATCATGGAAGCTAGCAAGAAATCGTGCTGCTCAAGTGATGAAATAAACCACTTTTCTCTGTGAAGAAGACCTCCGACTTGCACTTCTTTGTGAATGTTGGCATGGTGCGTTAAAATCGCCATTGCCGCTTCAACACATGAATACCTGGAAAAGTTGTATTTCGGTTCTTGGTAAGATTTTGCCATATGATGGCGGTGCAGAATACATCGTGTCTTTTGGAATAGGAGCTCCAAGTTGTACCTCTGGATTAATGAATAGGGCGGAACCGTTATGTAATCTTCAAGAGAAGCCATTCGGAAGTGAGGAGAAATGAGGGTATAGGCGTTTTCAAGACGTTGACTCAGTGCAATGATCTCATCATACTCTGCCACGTATTGTAGAGCAACCTGGTTGAATATTACACGAAACAACAATAAAAATCGTGTTTTCGTAATCGTGTATAACACGGGCGTCAGATCGGTCTCAGGCCGTGATTTCGGAAGCTTGACGGAATCAGGACCAAAGTCTTCATCCAAAAGATTGGACGGGAGCTGTGTATCATATTGTGATTCTTGAATCATGGCCGGCAATCCAAGCTGGCAGGAAAAGAGTGCATCCATCTGCAAGATACTCGCCCAGCAGCGGCGGCGCATTTCTCCCTGAAACACGGATAACTGTGAATAGTGGCTTGGGTCACGGTGATATCCCATTCGCATCGCTAATCGTGTGGCAATACCGGCCAGAATCCAGACGCCTAAATGGGCATCTTTGCATCGCACAAACTCATTGTGAATGTTGAAGAGGAGTGCCTCAATGGTGTATGCGCCAGGTTCAGTGGAATATTTGGACAAGAGCAGGCATTCGGTAGCGCGTCGATGGAAATCATCCCTCATGTCTCCAGGATTCCCGAACGCCTCTGGCAGTTTGTCTCCGGAGCGCATATGCAGAAACACACTTAGAGCCATTACTCCGAATAATAGGCTTATCCAAGGAAGGGAAGCGGCACGCGGGTTATCCCAAAATCGCTTATACTTGAGCAAAGAAAAAGGTTCAATTAGTTATTTTGAGCATCAACGGTTGTCTGCGTCCCCAGGGTGGTTATACATACCTCAAGCTGAAATGATGGCGGGTGAAAGGCAGCTGATCAAACAATTAGCTTCAAATGTGAATTAGGTGTTGAGAGGAGTTCTCAAGTACCAACTGAGGGATCCTTGGAATTGAAATATCGGGATATTAATCTGTTCACGAAATCTCTTGGAGGGATGGCGGATAGAATGTCTTCCAGGCTGGATATTTCTCTTACACCATCCAATAGCAGGGGCTCGCTACTCCTTTGGCTATGCACCATAGTCTCCATGTGGTTTTGTGCTTCCTGCTCATCAAAATTCTCTCTAAGGCATGCAATCTAAAGTGGTTCCACAAAGGTTAGTGTCATTGTGGCTGCAAAGACCATGGAAGCGTAGATGAGATCTCACCTCGTTACAAATTGCTGCCCAGTGAACGCTAGATACGTAAATCGTCTGGTCGTCGCTCGACATCATGCGGCCGGGCCTGACCGTGTGATTGTCATTCTGGGAAAAGTCGCCCACCGTTCGTTCATTAGCAGCATGGCTAGAAGTCTTGTCTCCGTGGAGATTATTTGCTTCTCCGGCGTTATATGAACTTATTGCGACGCCCGACGCTTGCTTTTCGGGCATTTGTGATACTATTGTCCCGAGAAGTTGCTCCAGCTTACGTAGGCGAACTTCAGGGCGCTGGTTGTGATTTCCTCTGTGAGATAAGCTACCACGTCCACGTGGTAATGAGGCGTAAATGCATTCGACATTTCTGGCCGTGCAATTACTACACGGCTCGTCCCGATCGCATCTTAATCTAGCAGAAAAAGTGTAAGGAGAATTCTTGGTGAGGAGACGGAGGCACCAACTTTCTTTGTCGGCATGACGAGCAGGATACAAAGCCCCGAGCGCTCTGCATCTTCAGGCTTACTCAAGGAGCTTCGTGGTTGTTCTTTCAATCCTTTAATCTCAGTGACCAAACACAAGTCGTATCAATTACTATACTTGTGGGAAAATAACAATTCAACAATTGCTAGTTATAAAATGACTGGGAATATGAATCACTCATCATGTGATTTCGCTCGGCAATGCAAAAGGTATGCTGTGGCTCATTCCCCCCAGCTCCAACTAGAGTCTTTTGCTTGGTGCTAATAAGTGGCTGTTTAGGCCCACATGCGACGCTGGTCGCTTGTGGAAAGGAAAGCAGACAGCGCACCTTATTAGGCAGCAAGTCTTTGGCGTAAGATTCTTTAGACTGAAGGGGAGAGGCGCTGAAACTATTTCGAGTTGGAATACTCCTGGAATCTCAAGCAACCCTAAACTACGGAATAGATCTATGAGGTGAATCACAAAACTTACGTTACAGTAAGCTTCTCCTAAACCTGTTTTTAAGCCAAGAACTTACGTTCCATCACGATAAAGGGGTTTTTGGTTAGTAAGAGTCGGCAACTCCGTGCAATAGTAGACTTTACAACCTGCCACAGCGCGCGAGCAATACATCGAACGTATGCATCATAAAGCAAACAATCCATTGGCTCGTTATCAACAGGGTATTTTTGGCGGCAAACTCATCGCAGACATACCAAAGCAACTTACAGCGATTTCAAGAATATCTTTATCCCTCAATTCCCTCTGATGAGCACTTCTCCTCCAGTATGTCTGCATATATGTTCAATGATGCTCCAATCAAGCCCACCACTTCCCATACAGTTTTGGATTGATACAGCCTCGCCCAGAGTCGAACAGTCTGCACATTGAGAGACTTTTTTCTTTCCCATATTTTCTCGCATCGAACTTTGTATGCTGCTTCAGCTACAAGGTGGACTACAAAGTCCAAGAGTCGCTCCTCTGCTTGCGTCAATGGAGGATTAGGGTTTTTTGCTGTAACAGATTCGAGCCACTTTGCGAGCAACAAAGCACACTCTAAAGAACATAGGGCATGTTGATTTGACCAAAATCTGACTTGCGTTTCAGCGATATGGTTTATGCCCAATTTGACAGGAATACTCAGTGCATGTGCGCAATGGAGAGCAGCCCGAGTGAGTCTTTCGCTGCGTTGGACTGGGGGGCTCGCGTGAAGCGATTGAGCGATCAAATGAGGATCCCAGCTACTTAGACAGCGTATTGGTCCGAGATTCATGTTAAGGCGTATGTAGGCTAGCCGCATAAGAGCCGTAGATGTGAATGCAATAGGGCCGTGAGGGCTCAAAGGATCCATGGAGGATTCTTGATTCTGTTCCCAATACATTGCCCAAGTTCTCAATGCATTCTCGAATGCACCAATCTGCTCCGTTGGAAGGCTGTGCTCTAGTTGCTGAGAAGGTAATCCAGAGTTTCTCGTCAGCCAGATCTGCTGGATTAAGGCATGCATCAAGACACATCCTCCGAAAGACGAGAAGCTTGTCTGGCTCGTCTTTGACTTTTCCTCCATCTCGCCTGCATTAACGAAAAGACTCGCAAAGGTCTCTTGGAAGTTTCGAGCCGGTTGTCCACCAGTATCGCGAGTTTGCTTCCACTCCGCCTCGTCCCTGGCCCTCCACTCTTTCTCACGGCATGGAAGGTCAAAATTAATGTCCTTTGCCCACATCAAAGGGGGTATGTCGAAAACTATAGTATGCATATTGATGAAGCAATACGCAACATAAATGATTCGCTTAATGTTCTCATGGTAAACCCAGGTTTTCCAATCATCAACATGTCGCGTCTGAGGAATGCGAAGTGCTTCCTCTTCTCTGATAAGACAGTCTAGCATGCTGCGCATCGACAAGGCGTCAGATGCAGTACCAGGCTCCGACCAAGTAGTAATTGCGACTAACAAAAGCATCGCCTGCACCGTCTGAATAACGCTTTGTTGACTGTCTTTAGATAAATTAGCCCCCTGTTGATGCGAAGATTGTCCTACCCGCTCGCTTGATGTAGCCAGCTTGCCAAGTGGAAGCCCGTGGGTAGCGATAGGATGTGTGGCTCTGTGTCTTCGAATACACTGGAATACCAAGACTTTTGTCATCTGAAATAAGACGCCACTCATTTCTAACTCGTGTGTATAGCGAGCTCCAATCGCCGCCATGGCAAGAAACAGCTCGACACTAATGTTTTCCGGTCGAAGAGTTGGAATATGAAGGAACGGGAAATGGTCATGGAAAGTATCGAAATATCCTCCAAAGAACCTTGATAATACATGCCGAGATGGTAAATCGAAGTCTTTGTCGATATAATCGGAAAATCCTTCTAAATCATTGATGATCCGTTGCCGACATTCCGTGGATATATGCATATGTAGCAGACCTTGTCGATCTTGTTGGTTTGGATTGGTCAACTCATACTCAGGCTGCAGTGGAGGAATCCTGAATCCAGTTTGAGAAAGAGAAGAATCATCATCTTTTGCAATTGGTGCCAAGGAAGTGGCAAGTCGTGGAACTCGTTGTCTTGGTGTTTCATTTCGCCATGTAACATTGTTTGTTGAGTCTTCGTTCGAAGCATTGATAGAGGATGGATCAGATACTGGAAAAAAGAATGGTACCGGCTGATAAGTCGGAGAGAATGGATGCGTGGGAACAGAGACGCTATCCATAAAAGATGTAAAATCATCTATGGAACTAAGGGTGAAGCAATCGACAGTGTTATCTCTAATTGCAAAATCTAGAGGCTGACCTATACTACTGGTCTGGGTAATATGGTCCTCGTAAGACCTTGATGTTCCTGTGGCTGTCAGATGAGCTTCAACGTCGCTGAGAGGAGCGCCTAAGATATCGGCTGCACTTTCAGGTACGGATTCCTGATGTCTGCTTGAGTGATCTGCCGTAAGATCCGGTAAAATATTGGTGGATTTTAAAGACTGTTGAGGAGATCGAGTTGCTGGAATTGTAATGGAGGACGAGGACTGTGATGCATTCCCCGAAAGGTGGGCAAGACGGTCGTGCCTCGAGAGCAAATCTCTTTTAGATATTCATTAGTATAGCACATTAGAAAAATTACTAAACAGATACGCACTTTCTTGTAAATGCTTTAGGGCACTGAGAGCATTGAAACGGCTTCTCTTTCGTATCTACACTATCCTGAATACCAATATTACGCATAGGTGGGAAACACGAATACTAACGTGATCTTTCGTGTCTCTGAAGATGTTCAGACCTCGCGAACAGCCGGCTGCAGCGATGACATCGGTAAGACTTTGTGGGTGGTTTCAAAGCTTTAGGCATATTGTTTCAAGCAAATAGTTCTCTCATTGTAACGGTCACCAGGTATCTGGGGATTGCAGAGTTGGGGGAATTTGGGGTAGCGCAAAGATTAAATACATGGAATAAGCGTGGAAGGCCTCTAGCCCACAAAAAGCATTAGATTCGCCCGAAGACGGCCAATGAACAAGCCACTTGAAAATCTCCAAATTGGAGATTCACAACCTGCTCCATCTATCTGCGAAGTCAAGCTGTTTTTACTCCGAATTAGATACCTACGGTTTTCGACGGGTCTTTGAGAAGTTTCGTTCTCTATTATCGCCGAAACATCGAATCGGAGATGTCTTAAGGACAACCTTTTCATGGCAAAGCGGGACCATGGGTGCCCAGAATTGCCATACCGAGGAGATGCTGTTTCCTTTGGTCAGCATACTAGCGTTAGCAATGGATTTTATCACCGGCGATTTAGTTTCCTGGGCTGGAGTAGAGCGCAAAGCTGCGGTGAGGTTGCTAGCCACTGGTCATGTAACAGACTGGCGATATGCGTTACAGACTTGTCGATGTGTATTTATCTTGAACTGAGGCTTGACAAGTGTATAAGTTCTTGTTCTATCTAGCTTCAGCCTTGATTAAGTCTTTTAACTCTGGGCTGCTGATGGATTAGCGGACCCATAATCTCATCACTTGCTCCAAATTGGGGATCCCAAGACAGGTTTTACTTAGCTGGTGGATCTTCCGGTGTCGATTCGATTCCAGAAAACAGTGAAGAATACCACGCAACCGATGATACCCGTCCGAAGATGAGTCAATTGCAGAGTTAAAATGAACAGGAGTTCTTGATTTGATTCTTCAATTGTATATCGAGACAGTTTGAGAAGAATTGCCTGTATATACAACTGCCGGTGTCGTTCATTGTAAACTCAGAAAAATTGACACAATGGGGGCGGCGCCGAAGGACGATTTCGCCGAATTAGCACACAAAGTGATAGAACTTTGTGTGCAGGAAAGGCAAACTGTACCTTCTCAACCCATTGTAAGCATCATTCCTGCACAGAATGAGAGAGACATAGGGAATATTGCAAAGCCATCGCAGGTACCAGCCTCGATTGAGGCAACACTGTCTCACGCGGAGAAAATCTTCGGATATCGTGTCAGGATGGACCATCCACGATTCTTTGGCTTCATTCCATCTCCAGCATCCGACTTGTCTTGGCTAGGGGAAATTCTCAATTCTGCTTATAATACGCATGCTGGAAGCTGGTATCAAAGTTCAGGTCCCAGTGCCGTGGAAAAAAACCTCTTGTCGTGGCTAGCAAGAGATGTTATTGGGTATCCCGAGACAGCTGGCGGCTGCTTCGTTTCTGGAGGCTCGATGGCTAACCTATCCGCCCTCATGGTGGCACGAGACCAAAAGCTTTCGTTTGAAGAAAGGACCAAAGCAGTCGCTTATACATCTGATCAAACCCACTCATCATTGGCAAAAGGGTTGGGAATTCTTGGATTTCACCATACTCAAATTCGCAAGGTACCTTGCGATGATAAGATGAGAATAAGTACGACTCTGCTTCGATCGGCCATTGAAGAAGATAAAGCATCTGGCAAGATTCCGTTCCTCATTGTTGGGAACGCAGGGACAACAAACACCGGCACTGTCGACCCGTTTCCTGAACTTGCAGCCATTGCAAAGGAGGAAAACCTGTGGCTCCATGCTGACGGAGCATACGGTGCATCTGCCTTGCTTTGCAAGTCCCGCCGCAGCATTCTTAACGGCATTGAGCTCTGCGACAGTCTGTCCTGGGATGCTCATAAATGGCTTTTCCAGACTTACGGCTGCGGAATGGTTCTCGTTCAAAATCGCAAAAACCTCACCTCAAGCTTTGGAACAACTGCAGAGTATACTCAAGATGCCGCCGAAACAGCCGAGTCATTGCCTAATTTCTGGAATTATGGGCCTGAACTCACACGACCTGCAAGAGCAATGAAACTTTGGTTCTCTTTCCAGCTCCTTGGCCTAGACGCAATTGACGATTCTATCAACCACGGATTTGAACTGGCAGAGATAGCACAGTCATCATTGGAGCGCCTGCCGGACTGGGAGATTGTATCATCGGCGCAGATGGGCATCATTTGCTTTCGATACAAGCCTTCTGGAATCCCTGGAGCAAGCTTGGACGACTTGAATACGAAAATTTCCCAAAAGGCGATTGAGCAGAATCTGGCCGCGCCATTGACGACAAGATTAAAAGGAGTGTTGGTGCTGAGGATATGCTCTATACATCCTGGTTTAAGCGGCGAAGAAATGGTGGCAATCATAGATGGGTTGGACCAAATTGCCCAGTCATTGCTGCCGAGTGTCAATGGCACAACGGGTGTAGTGTAGTGGTATACAGCACGAATTCATAACCATCTGTATATAATATGCTGCAAATATATAAGTATAAATGTTAAATGTTCCGAGAGATGATGCTTGTGCCATCATAATGATTCTGCTTATCAACACGTGAGTGATCCTAAAGGTTGTCGATCCTAGACAAGAGAATGCGTATAACGGGCCCTGCACATACCCAATATCGAAGGCCTGATGAACTCACGGTTGGTTTCTATGAGAGCCAGCGATATCACATTTTGTCTAATAAATTACAACCAGATGTAAATGACAAGCTATAAGGGCTCATTCATACAGGGGCAAAAATAAATCGCGGATCAGGCCGTAATAGTTCGAATATGCAATCGAGTGCTGTCTTATTACTCTCTCCTAAGCTTGACCTCTCGCCAATAGCTCTCTCGTTTCAAGTTACGAAGTCTTTTGCCGAACCAGATAAATGGCAAGAATATGGCGCAAATGGCCAACGCAACAAATGCAACACTGATGAAGCAATTCTGCAATCCCATGCCATCTAGCCAAGGCGTAATGCCATAGCCTATCGCAAAACTCATTGTGTTGCGAATAATAATGCACGATGCTAACCCATCTCCTGATACTTCTCGGTACGAGTCAACGAGGTATGCAATGGATAAGGTTATGCCAGCTGTATTGCACGCTGCGAGTATGCACATGGCAACTATAAGTCCAAACCAATGGACATGATGGGCGGCCTATGTCGAGTTAGCATTTCTATACTTGATGTTAGGCAGGTAATTAACGGCTTACACCGACACCCCAGAGGATCTGGCAAGCCGGCACCAGTATCGTCGTCAATGCGAAAAGCCAAAGACGTTGCTCGGGTTCGAAAATGCCGCGATTACGTCGCGCAAGCTTTATAACGAACCAGTCTGAGACAATGCCACTGTAAGCAGACCTATGAGATGAATAATATTAGTCGCCCGTCGTGAAGATATGAGGATACATGTATGTAGCGAATTGAACAGAGCAGAAAAGACAACACCTACCCAAGAATAACGCCTACGCAACAGGCCAAATAGCTCAGGCCAACGATACTTGGCTTGAAGTTGTACGGCGCGCCACCGAGGACAACGGATGCTGTTGCGTTCAAAATATTGAACCAGATGAGATATGTGCCGTACGAAAAACCCGAGTAGAAGACGACAGGCCAGGCAATCAATCTAAGAATCTGCCATGCGCGCTTATGCATCAAGAATGGCCGTGGTTTATCGAGCAGAGCGAGCTTCTGCCAATAAGTTTTTTCACTGCCTTGGAGCATGACACTATTGATGCCGTCCTGGGGAAGAGCTGCCTCGTCACTCTCGTTACCAGTCGTTGCGCCTGGTGATGGTGAGGCTGTCTTTTCAATCGACCCTTCATGAGCCTCTTCGGCGTAGATGACTTCTGACGGCTCACGATCATAGTTTGTCTCTTCAAGGAAAAAGAAGAGGAAGAGGAAGCAGCCACCGCCGAATATGGCCATGAAGTAAAAAGGCCATTTGAAGCCCATGCTGTCGTTGATGAAGCCGCAGATGACGGGCGCAAAGTAGTTGGAAGTGGCTAGAATCCACGCATACCATCCCATGTAGGTGCCTCTCTCGTGGGCAAAGTAAATGTCAGTAATGGACGTTTCGGGTAGAGCTTCGATCGGTGCGGCAACAAAACCCGCGACGATATTGCGGGCGATCCATTGGCCCTCGCCTTTGGCATATGGACTCCAAACGGAGACAGCCTACGAATGTTAGATTCCATGAAGGGGGAACTGGAAATTATTATCATCTAGGTATCCATTACTTACAACGATACCCAACATAGAAAGCAGGTATGTGAGTCGTTTGCCATATTGGAGAGCAAACGGCTGCCAGAAAAGTAGGCCCCAGCCGCATAACAAGAACATGTATCCCGTTCCTTCGTTGAGATTGCTAACTGTATACGAGAGCATCCATTAGCCAAGCGCTCGAATCCTGTGGGAATCGTTTAGAGTCCTACCGCTAACGTCTAAAGCCGTGGATAGCGGAACCAAAAGGGAATACACCACGGACAATGCCATGCCATTGAACAGAGTGTAGCTAGACCGGGAGACATAGATACAATATTAGTCTCAATCTTGACTTCTAGCTATAGCATGCAGGATTGCAGACTCACGCAATCAGACAAATGAGATGCTGGCGCTTCCGCCATGGCGACCAGTTCAAAGGGTCGTTTACATCAGTCGATGGTGTTGGGATGAGGATGATGTCGGTTTGCTTGGTAGCATGCAGAGTGCCGGTGGTATGCCCAACATCAACGAGCAAAACCGTCCCGGGGACCTGAGACTCGTCAATGTCCAAATCTTGGGTCCGCATGGTCGCTGTGACGATGAGATTCTCTTCTCATTTACAGATACGAAGAATGATCATAAGTTCAATCTCCTGGCCACAGCGCGATAGAAGAGGAGAACACAAAGCAGAAGCAAAGAGCTTCAGACAGGGATCTCATGGTCTTTATCTCGGCCATGTCTTGCCGATTTGTGCATCGGACACAGGCCGTTTTGCCGTCTAAGACATAACGATTGGATAATTGGATCAGCGTTGCATCGACGTCACAAGACACAAGCTATGTGCCAACACGGCAGTTGATCAAATTGGTTACATGGGGGGTCGTGCGTTGAGATGCCGATCTTGCGATTGGGGAAGAGGGGGAAAGGGCGTGGAGTAAGTCCGTTTGCGGGCAGCGTGGAGGATGATGGGGCTTGATGTTGATGATTTCACGTCTGCACATTGGTCGAGCATGAAGCGGGCACTGATATCTTCGGTCCTTGCACCTTTCTTTTGCTTCTTGTATCTCCCCTTATCTTTCTTGCATGGGTAACACATGGTGGATGCTGATAACTGGCGACGAACCGATGGAGGTGAACACGCTTTGTGTGACCCACTGTGTCTATGCGTTTCATTCTTATCTTCCTCGCGGCTTAAATGTATCGGGCAAGTTATCAATTGTTGATATCCCTGTTGAGATGCCTGTGCTATTTCTGGCTCTGGATTATCAAATGGGGATGTTTTCTTGGAAGCTATTCCCAGGCAAGTTGATGTAGCCTTTTCTAGATTGCGGTACATCGTTGGAAACACGGCTTTATTCCGAGAGCGGCGATCTCGAGTGTGACATTCGCAAGATTCCGAGGAGTTGCATGCACCACCTTGCATCTAGTTGCACTAGTCCTTCTTTTGTTGCTTTCCTGTTCTATTACCCGATGCTAGACATAAAGAGACAAGAATCTAGATCATTTTGAAGTACTCCATGTGTAATTCGACGAGTCTACTATGTAGCAACCGGCGGTATGATGCCGACCGGTCGCACTGGGCGCTTGCTGAACAGATGCGGTTTTACAATAACGGACATACCTAGACTACCAGCTACATTATCGTCCCTTTGATGTAATTCAAGTATCTTGAGCTTCGTCATTAAGCTGATACCAATTATTCTCTACTGAGAAGCTGATGAACTCAGGTGGATCTTGGCTCAGTCTGTTGTACACAGTCTCAGTCAGCGGGGAACACGATGCCTTCCCCACTTGATCTGAGCCGGGCATCGAGCCAGCTATCGTAGATTATCCCGATACCAGTTTCTTAAATGTCCATACTTTCTTCTATTATCGCGACTTTCATCTATTATCTGCTGCTATGACTATATTCCTCCGAAACCTAGTGTTACCTTCTACTCTAATATTAAGACACGGGATGCTGACCGCAAACTTCGAGTCCTGAACACAAAAACAGCCACTCACTGAATACAGCTAAGGACATTCACAGCTGGGCTTTCAACCCTGTCATCACAACTACTTTTACATCTTCTCTCCATCAAACACCATCAACTCCCATCAATGCTTTCGATTGCTTCTTTGTATATTCACCTTGCAAAGAACAACCCGATCTATACCTAGTAAACGGACGGCAGTGTCCGGTGCCTCTCGGCAAGCTCCGAGCCACGGCTTGCGGGGGGGCAAGACGCCCTGGGTAAGAATTAAGCGGGGCATCTGGGGGACTGCGTTTATCGTTGGGTCGGCATTGGGAGCATGTCATCCTGTCTCGTGCCCATCTTGAAGTTTTTACTTCTTCAAACAATCAAATAGTTTACATTGATTCAGGCGTTGATAACCTTTGCAACTCACAATGGCGGCTACTCTTGCATCGGAGATTGACTATCTCAAGAGCCTCCGCGCGGTCCGAGAGCGCTCACGGATCGTCTTAGAAGCGGCCCGAAATGGGGGCCTCAACAACTTCGTGCTTGGCGAGGGCCGGATGAAAGAGACGGCAGAATTCGTCGCCGGTGTCATTTCGGTAAGCCTTATTCCGCCGACCTCTCTTTTCTTATTCACAGGCTCGGACGTTCGGCATTGTTAACGGCGTGAGTGCAGCGAGACTTTGGCCCCGACCGATATGCTGAGATTCCGCCTCATGGAAGGTGGGAGCATTTCAGCATCGGAGGCGTCACCCGGCTGGAAACCTTGGTCCAGGTATGGCAAGACAGCGAAGTGGACGATGTGGAAATTACGCGCCGCCTCATTGATCTCTTCTTTGTGTCTGTGTTGCTCGATGCTGGCGCAGGCGACACTTGGGCCTTTCGTGAGCCTGGAAGCGACAAGGCGTATGGGCGCAGTGAGGGCATCGCCGTAGCCTCGCTGTACATGTTTAACGCTGGAGCCTTCAGTTCAGCTACAGATGGAAACAAGTCTACAGTAGATGGTACTTTGTCCCCTCTCTTTTGCTTTGCCTCTTTTGCCCTACCGCTCTTCTTTACGAATAGCACACACAAGCATGATTGGCATCCCGGCTGACAGTGCACAGGACATGGTCTCGGCAAGCTCACCGAAGACGCCTTCGTTCACCACTTCCAAATCAACCCCCAAAATCCGATGGTGGGTGTTGCATCACGAATTGAGCTGCTGAACAACTTTGGAAAGTCTCTTCTTTCTATCCCGGAGATTTTTGGGGAATCTGGTCGTCCTGGACTGCTTGTTGGCAAGTCATTCTTCACATGCAGTATGCTTCTTTACTGGTATAAAGCAATGCTAATGGATCTTCTTCAGACTACTTACTCAAGGATGGCAAGGATAAGGAGCTCAACTATGAAGCTCTCTGGAGCATCCTTCAACGTATTCTTCTCCCTGCATGGCCATCAAACCGCCCACGCATCAACAACCAGCCGATTGGAGACGCATGGCCTCTTTGTGTGCTACAGGACAAGTCTAGCGACAGCGAAAATCCAACTGCCGGAATCCATCCATTCCACAAGCTAACTCAATGGCTTGGATATTCCCTCACCGTGCCGTTTATGAAGGTTTTGAAGCTGAAATGGATCAACATTGAAACGGGAACCGGCCTGCCTGAATACCGCAATGGTGGGCTGTTTGTCGATATGGGGGTTTTGAAGCTGAAACCCGAAGTGCTCAGCAAGGGAGTTGAGGCTTCAGGCCAAGCCTTGCCGCTCTTTTCGTCCACCGGAGACGTGATTGTGGAATGGCGAGCTATGACGGTGGCTCTCTTGGATGAGCTGCATAAGCTCGTCAATGATATCTTGGCACCGCAGGGGGTTTCCCTCTCTCTTCCTCAGTTGCTAGAGGCTGGGTCTTGGAAGAGTGGCAGAGAGCTAGCGGCCAAGCATCGACCGGAGACGAGATCCAGCCCGATATTAATTGATGGAGATGGAACTCTTTTCTAATGGGTTTGGGAGCATATGCCAACTATTTTCATTCTAATAGATGATGGTTTGGGTATCTAGCTAGCAATAATACGATTCGTCAATGGCTGCCAATTGATCTCTGGCTACCTTCCTATCCCGTCCCCTGGTATCATGGAGATATACCAGGTTATCAAGTCAGGGCACATACAGGCTCTATGCCCATAGCGTACAGCTTTATGGATTCATCATTACAGAGTACGAACACGTTACACTGTGTCAAAACAGTTCTCCTCATTGTGATACCATTTCGGACTCCGTACTTGATGGGCAATTGAAGCTAGGAAACACTCGTGCCACATCTTCCACTTCCCACGTTTCCAGCATCATTATATGACTCACGCAGTAATACCTACACATCAGCACGATAAGAAAATGGCCGATCTTACATGGACCAGCAATGGAACATTACCCTGCGTGTGCGGGGCTCCATCTTCGTGCATTACATGCGATTACCTACATGGACCCCTAATCCTTCACAGGTAAGACGAGCAGTAAATGCATGGATATAATACCGCCCGTGCCCTCAAACCGCCGAATCGATTTCTTGACCACTGAAAGCACACACGGTCACTACGACAAAATGGAGGATCTCAGTCTGCCGCGCATTCTCTGCATCCACGGCGCGGGCGTCAATGCCCAAGTCTTCGAAATCCAATGCCGAGCCATCATGGGCAAGCTCAAGGACAAGTTTCGATTCGTCTTTGTCGATGGCCACATGGAGGAAGAAGCGCACCCGGCTGTGGCCACAATCTTCGCCGAGCTCGCGCCATTTAAGCGGTGGCTGGCCTACAGAGACGCCCATGAGGAGATGGACCCCGTGATTGCGTCCCAGAATATGGCGAAGCAACTCCAAGACGCAATAGATCAGGACAAGGGCACCGGCGAATGGGCAGGATTGATAGGCTTCTCCCAGGGCGGCGTCATCTCGTCGAGTCTTCTCTGGGCTCAGGATCACATTGAAGACGATTCCAAGAGGCCGCTGCCGGGAATCAAGTTCCGTTTCGCCGTCATCATGCACGCTCCCGGGCCCATCATACACATTGATCGCACAGGCACACTTACCAAGCCGCGACACTTGATCCACGCCGGCGAGAGAATGTCGTACGACTACGCCGATTGGCCTGAAGAGGACACGACAGACGAAACGCACATGGTACTGACGCCGACGCTGCACATTCATGGGCTACAAGACCCGGCACTTTTCAACCACAGGAAGCTGTACCAGTATAGCAAGAAGGGGACGGCGAAACTATTTGAGTGGGATGGAGGCCACCGACTACCGATCAGTCGGGGAGACGTGGAGCGTACCGTCAACATGATCTTGCAGTTGGCCGAGAGGACAGGCATGGAGTTTTACTATGACGATGCATGGTAGTGAACACCAGCAGAAAATAAGACAGGGGAACATGGAATTGGCGCAAGGCAAAGGGACGGGGAGAAAATTGGGCTTTTTTGATCAATGTAGCCGGCGATTTATTTACGTTTGAACAAGGCACCGCACTTATACGCACTGGGCTTTTTAGCTATGGCGTGCGGAATGAAGACACCATTTGATTAGGCCAAAGATATATAAATAGATAGGGAGCAAAGAATTTAGAAAGGATACATATATGGGAAAATTGATGCTTCTGTTCTATCCAAGCAGGAATACCATCCATCTTCAATGTAGCAGCATATGTGTCCTTCTTGACTTACTACGTGACCATGACATGCATCATGCATCATGCACGCCAGCTTTGTACTACGACAAGGGGCTTTCCTGCACACAAGATTCAAGCTTTTATCAAGGCATTACTCTGCTTCTTGCCTGTGATCTCGCCCCCTTAGAAAATCATATCCCAATTGACACCGAGATCGCCATCACGATGGTTAATTCCACAGCCAACAATGGAAAACGAGATGAGATCTACGGGCTTAGTCATCTGCTTCAGGATCGTCAAGGATTCCCCGCTGAAGCTGGGATCATGACGCTTGGCGAATCCCCCGCAATCAACTGGATCTCAACGCTGCGAGGGGCATCTACATAACCATAAGTGAAAGGGAATCAACGATAGACTCGTCGAATTGTCTTTGAAGAATTGAATACGGCATCGGCAGCTGCAGAAACCATGTCCAACCCCGAGGCGCACCAGACTCAAGCTCCGGGGGAGCAGTATTTCCCGCCTCCCCCTCCTGGACCTCCGCCAACTCAGCAACAACAACAACAACAACAACAAGATCACCAATCGCATCCTCCCCAGACGGAGCAGCATTTCCCACCTCCTCCTCCGGGGCCTCCTTCGCCTCAGCAGCAGCAGCAGCAATCATATCCTCAGTTTGCTCCGCCTCCTCAGCAGCCCGAGTCGCAGGCCTACCAGCCTCAAGATGCTCACCAGCAAGATCAACATCAGCAACACCAGCAACACGATCACCAGTCAACGGAGCAGCAGCATTTCCCGCCGCCTCCCCCTGGGCCTCCTCCATCCCAGGGCTATGCACATCAACAGCAGCAGCAATATCAGCCGCCTCAAGACTTCTCACAACAACACGGCCAACAACAGCAACCATACAACCCCCAAGCTCAGGTGCCACAACAGCAGACTTCCAGCTACTCCATCCCTGCCTACAATCCTGCGAATCCCATCTTTGCACCGCAGCCATCCAACAACCTCAACGAACCTTCGAGTCCTGCGGGATATCAGGCTCAAGGAGATGGCCAACAGCAGTACCAGCAACACCAGCAGCAACATGCGCCTCCATCTCCACAGCACGGATCTGGCGATGAACAGGGACACCACAAATCTGGCTGGAGTGAACGCCTCTCTGCTTTTGGCATGAAGGCCGCTGCGCCCATCAACAGCATTGCGCATAAGCTCGGCAGCCAGAGTTTCCTTCCCGAGACGCTGGACAAGGAGTGCGAAAAGGCTGCGACGATTCTCAAGGCATTCTGCAGTAAGTTTGCTCCTCTGTAAGCTTAGATTGCATAGGACCTTTGCTCACTCAATGGTGTATCTAGAAAAGGGAGTCTATGCCGACCCTGCTGCCACTTCGGTGCCCACCTCGACCGATCCCAACGCGAGAGAGTCGACCGACAGAGTCATCGACCCTACAAAGGAGAAGCCCAAGAACCGCGTCATTGTCACGATCCCTCCCAAGATCATCTCCAAGGCCGTTGGGCTTGCCATCTTCACCACCCTCCGCGCCGGCTTCCAGATATCTGGTGCAACAGGATCTGGAATCCTCATTGCGCGACTACCTGACGGGAGTTGGAGTCCTCCTTCGGGCATCCAGCTGCACTCTGTCGGCGGAGGGTTCCAGATCGGCCTCGATATCTACGACTGCGTCTGTGTAATCAACAACAGAGAGGCCCTCGCTGCCTTCACCAACACTCGCGTTAGCCTGGGCAGCGATTTAGCCGTAGTGGCTGGCCCTTATGGTGCTGGTGCGGCGGTTGAGTTTGGCACATCCCTGGATGCAAAGACGGCCAGAGACGATGGTAGGCCTCCATCGTCACAAGGACAAGGACAAGGACAGGACCAACAGTCGCAGCAGCAGCAGCAGAGCTTGCAGCCACCCGAAGCGGCAGACAAGAAGAGCCACCGGCGGAGCCTCAGCGCCAGCGCAACCAAGCCCGTCTTTTCATATGTCAAGTCGCGGGGCTTCTATGCCGGGATCCGAGTTGACGGCACTGTCGTAGCCGAACGCAAGGATGCCAATGCTGCGTTTTACGGACAAACCGTCTCCGTAGACCAAATCCTAAAGGGCCAAGTCCCATCCCAAGGCCCTCCGGGAATGTGGCCTGCTGGAGCCCAAACGCTATTCAGCGTCCTAAGGGGGGCCGAGGCTGGTGTCTTGCAGGCATCATCCCACGAGCAGCAGCTGCCGCCTCCGAGTCCAGGGCAACACCAACAACCAGCTCCTCAAGGCAACTATCCTCAACAAGGACAAGCACAAGGACATTCAGCCGAGCAACAGAGCTACCCATATGTTCCTCCCCCTCCCTCGTATGCAGACAGTGGGCCCCGTCCCATCGATGGCGACATCAAGTACGCATGAAGAAGACGGGATAGGCTTTGATAGGTTTTCACGAGTAATGAAGGAATGATGACCAAGATGAGCTTGAATAATATAATAACGATTTTTACAAAACTCCATCATTATTCACCCGTGTATGACATTGACGATCTTAGTAGAGTCCCTCTCATCTTCTTATGTATCCTTAGGTAAAGGTAAGAGGCGCGGCGCCACCGCGTCTATGAGGCTTCCCTCTGCCGTCCTATGCAGAACCATCATTGGCCTATAGGAGGTCCCATCACGAACGGGTCTCTTTTTCTTCGCTTGGGGAGAAACAAAACAAAACTTTAATTGCCTCTTCTGTGAGATCTTGTCATTGTCAGGAATGGCTTTGCGGTCTTCGCCGACGCCGTCTCCCGCTCACCCTCTACCAAGCTCACAATGACCATTCGACCCCAAGGGTTACATCACTCATACTCTGTATCTATGAACTGCTCTCAAGGATCCAGGGTGTTGAATCCAATGTCTCAGCCTCAACAAAGATCCGTGACCCGCGAACTCAGCATCTCAGGGTCCTGTCTCCCACCACTCCAGCTTTAGCTCTCCTTCGGGTGGCCGTTTTATTTTACTACTGCCCGCGGGGATCGTCAGGTCAACCATCTAGAGGAGTCGGGTTCACCCAAGCATCCGAACCGCGGGATCATCACGAACCGGAATCCTCGGGCTGGTTGTGGCTGGCGCCTGGCACAAAACCTTAAACACGGATGCGGGGCGTCTCCAGCTCGTGCGAGGGCGCTTGGGGGAAAAAAACAATCCCAGCTGGACTTCCCACAATTGAGCCGAGCTACTTATTGCCGTTTACCAGCTTTCCCCCCGACGACGTTTCGGGTGTAGGTAGTCAGACGGGCATCAAAGTTCAGCTTCAGTGAGGGTCCTTGCCGTGTAAGCTGCATGTTTTGGCACCAAGAGTGGGCACGGCGACTCCATGTGTTCTGCATATGTCAACTCTATACTCCATCCATATCGTGGGCAAATTTGGTTGCTTTAAAAAAGACAATGCTGTCTGAGTTGTATTGGCACTCATATTGCGTCTAGTTAGTCATGGTGCACAAGTAGTGCAACCACCGATTGTAAAATACGATGCTTGGGCTGGGCATCTCTGCTAGAGGGGATGCCATCTGCTCTCCTGTATTGCTACCTCGCTCTTCGGTTCTCAACATGCTTCAATCAAGCCAATCGTCACTTAGGACCGAGTAGTTGGACCGAGGCAGAACACGAGCACCTTGTGAGGGTGCAAACTTGAATCTTGTGGCCGCAATCGCCAGCCACTTCGCATCCCTCCATGCGCCACAGCCGCTGCCATCTCCGTCTATGATTGATCCAGCAAACCGGCGCCGCATTCGGCCTCTTCAGCTCTGATGCACCTGGTTAGAACGTGGGTTTTTGTTGTATTCGCCACGCGTGATGGCAGCCGGGCTAACAACGCCACAGTCGTCCGAGTTAATCCACCCATTGGTCAGTTAGTAAGTAGTATCGTCAGCTTCAGCTGGCTTTGGCAGTAAAACATCGCGACTGAACTCTCGCACAATAGGCTATGGTCCTTTAGTCTAACGAGATGTGTGTTTCGCCGGGCATCCACAAGAGAGCTTGGAGTAACTAAAAAAGAGCTGGTGAAAAGTTTGATCCGGCGGGTATTATTAAGAAAATACAGAAGAGAGGTTGGAGGCTTTGGTGTTACATTAGCAGTGACGCATACAAAAGTCCTTCCGTATTCTAGGGAAAGGAATGTAGTTCGATAACGAAAGCGGGTTATTATAGAAAAATTGTAACGTTAATACACGGCTGGATCCAAATATATCCAACCCACTATAAGATAACGCATCTGCCTACATGTACACTACTTGCTAATACCCTTAAGGAACTGGATGTCCACAGTACTCTAGTTACCGATTGGCCATCTTTTAGACCCGGTCTTGACCTTATTAAACACATATAGAACTGAATGACAGGTTGGATTCAAAATATCTACCCACAAGAGACTGTAACCCATGATCGATTGCGAGTTATTATGCAAGAGGCTTGGGACTCAATAGAACTTCCACACAAGCTCGTAGCCTCAATACCAGTCCGTTGTAAGGCTGGAATTCTTGCTGGAATTCTTGTAAATGGGTTAACTATATGTAAAATACTAGGCATCTCGTTCAAATAGATACCTCGATAAAACTGGCGTAAATACAAAAGACCTCCCCTCCTCGACCCTCGTCAGCACCTTTATCGAGACTTGTGTGCCGTTGACTGCTTCCGGGATAGCAGCCGTGGTATCCATTCATGAGAAAAGCCCTTTTGTGGCTTTCAAACTCAATCAGGGCCGGCCTCTGCACCTTATCTAGCTGAGATGCCTCGTCAGAAAGCTCCACATGTGGGAGCGGGATTAGCTCAGAGAAGAATGTGCAAGTTCAGAGGATTGAGGATTGGGAAATAATAAGAGAGTTGTCGAGAGGTCACTGTGGCAAATATTTTCGTTATAGGTAGCCCATCAACCCGTATCACACAGGACTGAGCAGTATATATAGAATTCTCAGTTCTCTCCTCGTGTTCCCTCTTATTATCCCAAGTATACGATACTCACCAAGAACATCCATCAACCACTCCTTATACAGGCATACCACGACGAGAAACTGCCCAGCATGCATCGTCAATACGCCCCTCCGCGCGAACCCATCCGCAATGAGATTGTCGTCGTCTTTGGCGAATTCTGCGGAACCTTCATGTTCCTCCTGATGTCCTTCATCGGCACCCAGGCCGCCCTCGACAACAACGATCCAACAAACCCCAATGCTCCTCTATTCCCCTTTTCGCTCTTATACGTTGCTTCTTCTTTCGGAGCTGCGCTGGCCGTCAACGTATGGGTCTTTTACAGAGTGACGGGCGGCATGTTCAACCCTGCTGTAAGTGACGAACCTCTCATTATGCAACACTTTGCAACACTTCCCCCATTTTCATGAGATTTCGTATTAATTCCAGCTACAAGGTCACACTTGGTCTCGTTCTTGTCGGTGCAGTCAAGCCGATCCGTGGTCTCCTCATCTTTCCCGCTCAAATCGTCGCCGGCATTGCTGCCGCAGCAGTCACCGATGCCCTCCTGCCCGGTCCTCTGCTTGTAGCCAACAAGCTTGCTTCCGGCACCAGCATCTCCCGCGGCCTCTTCATCGAAATGTTCCTCACAGCGCAGCTCGTCATCACCGTCTATTTCCTCGCCGTGGAAAAGCACCGAGCCACGTTCTTGGCACCATTGGGCATTGGCCTCGCCGTCTTCATCGCCCACATTTGCGGCACAAACTTCACCGGGACTGGCATCAACCCTGCCCGATCGTTTGGCCCGGCTGTCGTCACCGACTTCACGGGCTACCAGTGGATCTACTGGGTCGGGCCATTGTTGGGCTCCCTTCTCGCCTTTGCCGTCTACACCATTCTCAAGTGGTTGGAGTATCACAATGCCAATCCGGGCCAAGATGACGACAACTTTGTTAAGAAGACGCCAGCGGGCTTCAACATCCCTACAGGTGATAGGCAGTACAGCAACAGCACCAACGGAGCAAAGGAACACACACCATCTGAGCCGCGAGATAGTGGAGTGGTTCAAACTAACTCGGGACCACAGGGGTTCCAGGCCGTGTAAGATGGTCAAATAACTGTATGAATGGTGTGTAACAGAATGTTGAAAATTTCGTCAATCTGCATTCTGAATGGATAGCAGATGAACATGGATATGGGCGTGTAGGAATAGGCCACAGGTTTCTTCGTGGGAGAAGCTCCTTATGCTGCAAAGCAGCTGAAAAGCAAACTCTGTATACTTCATATATCATATTGCGTATGTATACATTTGTAATCTATACTTTATACTGTCAATCAATAATGCGGTCATGACTCCTCAGTGAAATACATCGTAGTAAGCTCTTTATTGATAGGTACCTGTCATCATCCTCTTCACTCTTCTTCGGCCAATTCCTCTGGAAACCACCCGTACACTTCCAGGTCGACCGTATACTCTCCCATGGCAGTCCGAGTCACTTCGACGCCTTCCCTTTGTAGCTCAACAGCCTGATTTGCGGCTCCCGAAGGTTGTGATCTAGAAACATTAGCGTTAATGATACCGCATAACAAGACAAATAAATTCATCTGCAAAGCAAAGATACACGATAGAAAGAAAAAAAAAAATCACCTCGGTGATACTGCTCCCTTGGAATTAATCACCCTCTGCCACGGCACATTCGAGCTGTTAAACACCGCGTCCTCGTCATGAGGCAAATGCTTCATACAAACGCCCACTTGTCTCGGCCGCTGCGCTATTGTCCCCTCACAGTCCTCATCAGCATCTCCATCACCAGCAGCAAATTCAATTGAGAAGAGAAGAAAAATCCCCTCCAAATATGAATCCAGAGAAATACGTACGTGTGCCGACGAGGTAAGCAATGTGCGCATAAGTCGTCACCTTTCCATACGGAATCTGCTGAGCGGCAGAGTAAACCGCATGGAAGAAAGCTTGGGCTTCATCCGACCGCGCCATGTTCTCTGCTGAAGAACAAAACGAGCGTGTAAAATCACATAGAGCACAGAAACTGAAACAATGGCTTTTTTAAAGCAAATGATGAATGAGAAGTGAGATTGTTGGAGTCGGTGAAAGGGGAGAAGTTGAGCAAAGGGCGTGAATCAGTGACAGAAGAATTTGGTGGGGCTTTTTGGGGCTTTGTAACAGACTTGCAGCGTCAGATGCATTGTAGCGATCATTAGTAAAGTACCAAATAATGCTATTGCGACAGAGAGAAATATGATGTCTATACTTAACCATTAGATAATAATCGTAAAAAACCAACATATATTGTCTTGTCAGTACTATTTCTAGCTTTAGAATATATGAACAGGTCGCTCAGTATCATTGAAATGCTACATTCAAGTTATCACGCCTCTCTTTCTAACTCTCGCCAAGGAACAATGCAAGCAAAACCCAGCCATCTAACGAATCTACTATAACATATTCTCCAGGATAGCTTCATATCATCCAAACGAACAGAAAATATGTGTCCTGCAATCATCTTCATGTCTATAACTTAAACTGCCCCTACACAATGCTTCAATCTGAAAATCATCACTGAATCAATCATACCCCACCGACCACAACGGGAGAATTGCTTAGGAATCATTTATCTCGCTTCAAACGCTACATTATAGATCCAACCTCCATCGATCATGAAACCCTACAACGCGACACACAGCCCGAACATAGACATCCATGCAGTCTCAGAAATAAGAAGCCCACAGTAGTGACAATAACACAATGATAAAAAAACCCCGTGCCACATTGGGGCGCATCTCACATTCAGCACTTCAAACAAGAAAAGCCATCTACAGAGTATACATATAATAATCTACAAGTTCCAATCCATCACATCAACTCCGAGTCTCATAACATGGCCATCAATCGAATCGACTCCATGCAAGTTCCCCCCCTTTCTCGTCGTGTTTTTACAGCTCTCCCCTCTCGGCGTTAAACAACAACTCGCACGAATCCAGTATCATCAAAATCGAATAATAACCACCTCGCCTACTCTATACAGTAGGACAAACCAGAAGAAAAGGTGTAAAAAAAAAAGGACAAATAAATAGAGTAAAACAACGCGCATCATGACATACAATTACGTCATTTAACACGGTGAAATGACATTGTAGTTTGCTCGCTCCAGAAAAAAAAACAAGAATAAAGTAGACGTTTCGAACAGAGGATGAAGAAAAAAGGTAAGAGGGTCACAATAACTCCTGGCTGCGCCGAATGAAACCAAATCAAGAAATAAAAACAAGCAGGCAATACCAAGAGATAAGATATCAATGCTTTTTTCTCCTCCGAGGCAAATGCACCGGATAGGAGAAAGAATCATGAGTCGGAGAGAAGAAATTCATGAAAAGTTGATAAGAATGAGGTCCCGTCAGAATGAAGCGTCAAGAAAATAACATCCAAAGCGAGTTGCTGTAAGGGGCAGAGAGTTCCTGCGAGGCGCAAAGAGTTGGGGTATAGTCCTGCAGTGCCCACATACAGCTACGTTTGTCCATGAGCGTCACGCTTAGAAGCAGTTCAGGCTGCCCTTCTTCTTCTTGTTCTTGCTGATGGCCTGCATTCTCTCCTCCAGCTGCTTTCGGGCTGCCTCTGCTGCCTGTCTCTTCTTTCGCTCCTCCTCTACCGCTTGCATGCTGTATCGGTTGTCCTGTGACTGGTCGGACGACTTCTCCTTCAGCTCCTTCACCTCAGCCTCGAGCTCTTGAGCACGCTTCTTCCAAGCGTCGCAGTCTGCCTTGACCTTCTTGGATTGCTTCTCCAGGTCGCCCAGAGCCTCTTCTAGAGTCTGAGTAAGTTGGCGCTCGGCGCTGAGGTGCTTCTCAATAGCACGAATGCGGGCTTCTTGATCCTCGGTGACTTGAGAAATGTTGAAGTTGTCCTTGCTTGGGGGGCGTGTCGAAGTAGGAGAGCTGGGCGCACCGTTGGGCAGAGGTGGCAGAGGGACGGAAGGAGGTGGCGATGGTAGAGAGTTGTGTGAGGAGCTCTTGCGGATTGTCGAGTTGGAGTTGGATCGCTTGACGTCTCCATTGGCCATTTCGTTGTACTTGATCTGTTCATCAATGGTTAGCTAGGTTCACACATAACATGACTCACAGCCCTCGACATAATGAGAGGAGGTGGAGGCGGGTGACGACTTACTTGGAGGGCAGCATATTCTTCGCGGACGGTTTCAAGCTCGGTTTGAAGCTTGATTCGAGAGGACAACGCCTCGTCAAGCTGGGCGTTACGCTCAGACTGCAGCGAGCTCAGGCGGTTATTGGTCACCTGCACCTCATCAAAGTTGTGCTGCAGCTGTTCTTCGAGCTCTTCGATGAGACGAGAGTTCTTCTTGTTGCGGCCATCGAGGTCTTCCACCTTGGCCTTGACGGCAGCAAGCTGGTCCACCAGAGGACCAGCCTTGGCTTCTGTGCCGCCAGGAAGCAGGCCTGCAATCGCCGTCTTCACTCCCTCAAGATCCCGGACGAGTGATTCATTGATGTTTGATAGCTCCGTGACATGAGATGTAAGCTCTCCCATCTTCTTGCGCTCTGATTCAACGGCATTTTGGTTGGCGACGAGAGCCTCAATACGCTCGCCCAACTTCTCCAGTGGCATCTCTGCACCAAAGACAGCGGCGATTTGAGTCGCAACTCTTGTCAGTTCATCCCTTGACTGAGCAAGGTCTGTTTCCAGCCTGAAAGTGGCTTCTGAGTGCTCAGTCATGAGCACCTCCACCTGCTTCTCATAGCTAGTCTGTTCGTGGTCCTTCAGTTCAGCAAGTTCTCGGGCGTGGCTCTGCTTGAGCGCGTCCATCTCTTCCTGGTGCGCTTTTGTGGCATCTTCGTGGCCAGCAATCAGCTCCTCAAGCTTGGCGGAAAGCTCCTGGTGGCGGGCGGTTGTCTCAGCCGTAACAGAGCTGTGGATCTTGGACATGTCGTCCATTGCCGCTCGAGCCGAGAGATGAAGAGACTCAAGCTCTGCCACCTTGGCGTTGTTGCTGCTGATAACAGCCTTGTACTCGTCGATTTCTTGGCGTAGGAACTCAATGAGCTCTTGTTGCTTGACAACTTCTTTCTTGGCCTCTTCAGCATCAGCATCCTTTTCGGCGGCGGCTCGGGATTGAGATTCGGCCAGCTGGGCGTTGGCAGCATCGACCTGGGCCTCCAGCTGTTGGATGGTCGCCTGCATCTCCTTCTCGGTGCTTCTCATAGATACCAGAGCAGCGTGATGCTTGTTCTCCCAGCCAGCCAGCTCTGCCTGCAGCGTAGACACTCTTTCATTGTATGGAACGTCGGCCTCTTCTTCGTCAGTCGGCATGAACTCTCGGGTAGGAGTAGATGCGACAGACTTGCGGAGGACCTCGACTTCGCTCGTCAATTCCCGCTCACGCACAGCATGGGCCTCACGAAGATCGTAGAGTTGCCTCTCGCTCTGCTCAAGCTGGCCTCGGAGGGTTGCGACCATCGACATGTCAACGGGTGAGGCTTTCAAGCTAGAGCGCTCACGCGCCAGGCCCGAGATGATGGCCATTTTGCTCTCCATCTCCTTCTTGGCCGCAGCAACATCGGACTCCAGCTCTTGGATTCGTTCACTGCGAGATTGAAGCTCGTGCATGGCTGAGTTGAGGTTCAGCTCAAATGACTGCATTGTCTCCGGCCTTCCTTCAAAGTTTTCAGCTGCAAGATTTCTCAAGTAGACGAATGATCGCTGAGCACGATCCACGCCAAGAAGGTTCTGGCTCGACTTTCGGCGGATCACGCGGGGGCCGTTGTCGACAGTTCGGGCCTTGGTAACTTCGGTCTTGAGCTCTTCGACCATATCCAAGGTCTCGTTGTGCTTGAGTTCCAGCTGAGCGTATTTCATGGCCAGTTCCCTTTCGGCGTTTTCTTTTTCCTCAGCCAGGACCCTGAGTCTCTCAAGCTCCATGGCAAGCTGTTCATTTTGCTCGCTCCTGTCAGCCTGTTCGTATTGCTCGGCAGGCACCTGGATTTCGGCATCGTCATGCTGAACAAAGAATTCAAACTGCTGAGCCTCCTGAGCCTGAACTTGCTCAATATGCTCAACGTGCTCCTTGGGTTCGACCACCTCCTTAGACTCGACGAGCTCCACAGGCTCAGCCAACTCCTTATGCTCGACCTGCGCTTTCAGCTCAATTGGTTCCTTCAGCTCAACTGGCTGTACATGCTCATGTTCGGCCACGTGCTCGGTCTTCTCGACATGCTCGGGCTGCTCTTTCGACTCGGGCTGTTCGGGCTGCTCGACATGTTCAGTCTGCTCCTCCAGCTCGTCCTGTCCATGCTGCTCATGCAGCTCGACATGTTGTGCGAGCTCTCTGGTCAGATCTTCAACTGACGCTGCGGGCTTAGCAGTAGCCGTATCGTCTTCAGATTCCAGATCAAGGTGTGTGGTATCAGCCGTAATGGGCGAGTCCATGACTGACGAAAGCTCAGAGGAGAGCGATCGGTGGGCCGAAGATCGGATATCATCCTTGGCGTAGCTTGTCTGAACAGACTGGAATGACTCGGGGCGAGTCTCGGTGGCGGCGTCGACGGAAATGATGGAATGGCGGAGTCGATCAGGGTAGCGAGCTTCGTCAATAGTATCCTGGAGCTCTGACATCTTTCGCATCGCCTCTTCGTACTTGGCATGCAGTCTACCATAGTCATGAACGGTAGTCTCGTGCTCAGTTCGAAGGTCGAAGAGCTCTCGGGTGACCAACTCCAGCTTGTCTGCCACGAATTTGGACTGTGCAAAGGCCTGGTTTGTAGCTGCATCATCGACGGGCTGGTTGTCGGAAGCTTTTGGCACAGAATCACCGGCAATGACAGCATCCTCATCGTTCTCCACAACAGGGGCGAGCTTTGATGTTGCTTCTTCGGTTTCATTCTGCTGATCTTTGTCTTGGGCCAGTTGGTGGTCATGGCCGTCTGCGGACTCCGCCTTCGTGCTATCGTCTGAGTCGCGCAATTTAGACTCGTCAACATGGTCAAGTTCGTGAAGCAAAGCATCCAGCTTGCCTAGACTTCGCTGTCTCTCGATAACTTGCTCAAGACGCTCAATTTCTCGCTGCATAAGTTCAGCGTCCTGATCCGCCTCGGCAAGTCGCTCCTCCAGCGTTGAAATGTAATCTTCAGAAGCAGACTCGTTCTCACGGATGCGGGAAATCTCTTTGCGCAACTCAACAATAATGGCCGAGTTCTTCTCTTCACCGGTGCTGTGGCCATCTAGCTTAGCCTCCAAGTCATGGAGGTAGCTTTCGGTGCTGGCTTCGCGGTCCATGAGCTTCTGAATACGAGACTGCAACTGGGAGTTGATAGTCTCGACATAGGCACACTTGGTTTCTTTCTCGAGAAGGTTTGTTTCCGTGTTCGACAAGGTGGTTCGTGTCTTGGACAAGGACTGTTCGAGCGTCTGGATAGTCTTTTCGTATTCGAGAACAACCTGTTCAACCGACTGAGCAAATGAGTTTGAGCGGTTCAAGCGATCCGTTGCATTTTCTTCCTGGAGTTCGTCCAACTGGAGATGGTGCTGGTGCTCGCTTTCTCGGGCCTTGGCCATTTCTGCGATCAGGCGAGCATGGCGGTTGTTCAGGGTGCCATAATTTTCCTGGAGATCAAGCAGTTGGTTCTGAAGCTCTGCTTCCCGTTCGTTTTGTCTCTCTGGTCTTTCGCTAGACCTGTTGGCGCTACGGGGAGGGAGGTCGCCTTGTCCATTGGCACTGCGGATTTGCTCGCGCAAAAAGGCCACCTCGGCCTTGAGCCGCTCAATGATGGCATTCTTATCCCCTTCTTCGACCTGCTGGATTCGAGGCTTGGACTGGATCGCGCGGGCGCGCTGTGCATATTGAACGGTGTTGAGCGTCTCGCTAAGATGGAATTCCGGCGGCGTAACGCAAGCAATCATGTAGGTAATTGCGTTGCCACCGAGCGAGTCCTGCAGGAGTCGTGTGAGTTTGGAATCGCGGTAAGAGACGTGGGCGCCCGCGTTTCGCGACGAAAGCTGGCTGATGACTTTTCCCAGGGCAGCCAATCCGGCGTTGATGGATATTCCTTCCTTTGCACGCTCGCCCTGAGCACCCGTGTTCTTCAGTCTTTCACTACCGGCCAAATCGACAAAGTGCAGCTTGCTATCGGTGGTGACGGAGATGTCCTGGCCACTCATAGCTTCCAGGGGCATGGAGTGGCGCTTGTCGGAATTTGAAAACTTGCTCTTGCGCTGGACCAAGTTGAGGGAGAAGACGGCGTGGGATCGGGAGGATTTGGCGTTGATGGCAGTAGCATCGGTCTGGCGAATGGAGGAGCCAAAGGCGAGGGCGTTGAGAAGGTCGTCGACGCAGGTAATGTCGACCTGGTGCAGGCCTGTGAGAATGATATTGCCCTTGACATCTTCTCGGATTGCAACTGAGGTTCGGTCATTTAGTGGCGTGGTATCGGCAACCAGAAGATCTCGGAGGGTCTCGTTGTAAATTTCGACATAGGTGGCCGTCAATGCCCAGTTTCGGTCGCCCAGGTTGTTTTGCTGGCCATATCCTCGAGGAGATCTGAAGCTACTAGCGCTCTTCATTGTGCCATTATTCACAACTCCTTTCTGTACATCCAGCTTTTCGAACAGGGCAGCGGCTGCTCGCGGGATAACACCTAGATGAGAGCACAATGAATTAGCCACGCAAGATGACGAGCGCAATGCAGTTTGCGCATAGGATCTGCTGCTGTTAGTAGACAGGCAAAAAGAAGTACCATACCCATATCGTCTGGATTTTCTGTCGCACTTGCTGTGCCCATGGTGTATGATTTGCCAGCACCAGACTGGCCGTAGGCAAGAAGAGAGACATTGTATCCTTGGGTGAAGGCGTTGATGCTGTCTGTCAAGTACTCCCAGATGCCATCTTGCATAACATCCGGGCCAAAGACGCGATCGAAGACAAAGAGTTTGCGTCCTTGGGGAGAATCGATAGACAGGCTCGTGTTGGACGTGACGTGCACCATAGGGCGCTGGAAGCGCTGCGGTATCAGGTCATATCCTGGATCTTCTGGATTCAACGCCGGTCGCACTCTGACGGCTGCGAAAGTGAAGGTAAAATGGTCATGTCAGCTCATCAAAAATCATGAAATCAGCACTAGCCCGGGAGACGTCGAAGTTCACGAGACAGTGTACCAACGTCTTTGGAGGGTTTGGTGCTTGGAAAGAGGGCGAAAATGCGTACCGACACGGACAGCCGTCCGATTGTCCTCATCAGAGGCTCTGCTCTCGCCGCCTTGCTTGCTGTTCATACTCAACCGACTGGTGCTCCTTGGTTGAGGACGAGTAGCAATCGCGCTCAGGGGACGCTGAAGCTTATGCGCTGGCGATGGCGAGTCCGGCGGAGAAGTGGCCATGGCGGAAGATGCGAAGCGAAGCGGAGCCAGATGTCACCGAGGCAGCGAAGCTCCAGTCGCTCCAGTCCAAAATACCTGTTCTCAGGTAGGGGCCCGTGTCGACGGCGCGCACAAGCCGGCGCAAACGCGCACAAGCGACAGCAGGTGAATGACCCAGGCCGCGAACACGAGCAGCGCTGGAACGGGGAAAACGAGCGAATTGGGAAAGAAATTGAGGCGAGGGAAAAAGAGTGTGCTAACGATAGTCCTGAGGGGGGGGAGGAAAAGGAACGACGATGGTCAGAGACAGAGACGGAGGATCAACGAACGGTTTCTCAAGAGAACCGTGCCGATCGTTGCTCGCTACCAGAACAAGCAGTAGTCGTAATAGTTTGCTGATTCTCTTTTTTCTTTCTTTTTTCGTCCCTCTCTCTCTGTCTTGTGGTCTCTCTCCCCTTGTCTTTGCTATGATCCAATATGTGCGCCTCACTGGCCGGTGGAGACGGGATGCCGGTGCATGAACTCGTACTGGTAGAGATACAAGACTGTATGCGGGTGCGTATGTACAGTACACGTGTGGTGTGTGTGTGTATGTCGGACAGAGCTACTGGAAGCTGAATAGTCGGGATGTGCGTATGTACGAGTACAGGCAATGCATGGCCAGGCTGGCACTGATTCGACGGCCGGCTTCGTGGGGATATTGCGGTTGCACGATGAGTGGTCGCGATGGGGGTCTCGGGGGGTCCTTGTTCGCCTATCAAACAGGCATGTCAGAGCTGGGTATGGCGATGGAGACGGCAGGGCCCTTGAACGGGTGGATTTGGCTATCCCGTACCTAATTAAACAAAGACGCCAGACCTTGCAAATGGGCTGGACTGGGGCGAGAATTGATGAATGGATGCTGCTCGCACGATGGCAATTCTCCAGCACGGTAAGATACCTTGGCACAGGCAGGATTGGATTGGCCCAGCTCAGTGTCCTTGCAGAACAGAACGAGACGAGACAAGAGAATGAATGACGGGGCGGGATCGTGCCTGCGAAGGTGGAGTGAAGAAGACGAGACGTGTGGTGTTTTTCGACCCGATATTAAAAGGGGGGAGAAGCTGGTGTTTGCTAGCTAGGGGGGAATATTCGATAGACTGAGGCGAGGTCGGTCGAAGAGGGGAAAAAACACCCGACAGGTAGCTACTTAGTGGTGTTTAGCACCTACAGCCAGCAGTTCCAGAGCACCAGACCATTGACGGTAGCTGCCTCCAGCTGCTAAAAGCGATGGACGAGCCCCTAAAATGCGCACATCATCTCAACTCCATGTCCCCTAACCTAGGGAAACTAACAACAACGTGCACCTAATCAATTAAATCGTGGCAAGGCTCTGCCCAATCCAGTCCAGACACCTGCACACAGCGCAAATTGTCACAAACCCCTAAAAAGCCACCGCGAAATAGCTCGCAAAAGGAGGATTGGTAAGGCAGCGCCCCGTGCTACGCTCGTTGGTACCGGTACCTCGACAGCAGCGCGATTTCAGCGCCTCGAGCACCCAGACACAGAGGCAAATCGGTACGGCCAGGTACTTGCAGCATCGTCCAGAACCCCTGAAATTGCCAGCGCCCGCCTGTGCCTAAAACAGCCAAGAGCCAGGGGATCCCAGCGCTAAGCGGAATGCTCTAGTCCTATTGAGGCCCCGGCTCGCACTAGCCACCTGCCAAGCCACCGCAGGCCCTGAGCAGCTCGCCTGTGATCGGAGAGAAAAGAGGACATTCTGTGGCTGTTTGGCCCTGATCCATCATCGATCCATTTGCACAAAAACGAGCTTCTAGTTCTTGCTTGTGCCTGAGCTTTTTCTTTCTTTGGCTTAGCAGCCTCGCAGCCGGGTCCATGGGCAACAGGGGCGTGAGTACCTGGACTTGTGCGAGTGCTGGAGCTCCGTACCGCTACGGCGTCACAGGTACCTGCCGGCGCTCCGTGCTCCGTCAAAATCCGAAACAACAAGCAACAGAAACCAATTGAAGGCTTTTTTCACTCTCTCTTCCGCTCTCTCTCTCTCTCTATCTATCTCTCTCTCCCCTGTCTGTCCATCCGTTACCCAAGTCTGGCTGGCCCGTGGAGTCTGGAAATTAGGACATGGCGATAACCGAAGAAAAACGAACGGGAAAAAAAAGTGTCCGTTGTCCTTCTCCACGATGCGGCCACATGCGCGCGCGATTGACAAAGAAAAGGTCGTACAAGGCTGACTGATGATGTGAAGCTGAGTCCGCAGTGGGACACGAGTCGACGGGATGGCATGTGCTAGCGTGTGATTGCTATTCTTTAGTCGACAATCGGTCATTTCATTTCCCTTGCTTTTGGGATCCGTTCCGTTCCTTGATTCCTCGACGGCGTGGAACAAGCTTCATGTTCCCTTCTTCACTCGACCTAATGCAACGGGCCTTGATATCTCTCAGCTCAACCACCATCAACCCCTGCGGACTGGCTGTCCCTACTACAGAAATGGCGTTTGACAGGTCAAATTATCCCCCAAAGCTTTGGGCACCCAATATCTGTAGTCGCTGCCGATTGCTGCACATGTCTCACCCACCCAGTGGCCGTATTGGAGCTGTGCTTGGCCCCAAAGCTCCGCACAACAACCTCGCCTCGTCTGCAAGTGCGGACGGAGCACGGATTACATGGTGGTGAATAAGATGAGGAACCAGACAAGGGTGGCGGGCCAGTTGCTCTCATTTGCTGGCTGCTTGCTACTCCCACTTCCGCCGCTGCCGTCATTCATCCATTCATTTTTGCCGCCTTTGTGCTCGTCGAGAGTGTCTCTGGTGTTATATTACTCGTACACTATATGCATCCTGCACGCCGTTTCACATAGGCGCCCTTTGTCATGCGAAAAGCGCCACGCTCCGTTGGTCAATCCAATCACCCATCAACAAATGGCAGCAACACGCGTATCGTATCCGATGTTTGGCACCTAATCTACAGGCACATGTATGCAGCATTGCACTGCACCGTGTTGATTATCACGGGGCCTTGCCTTGCAGGAATTGCTCGTCACATCATCACCATTTAGTAAACGGTCAGCGTTTTGCAAGCAACTAACCATAACGCCGACCACATGTCGATCTTCGCCGCGCCAGGCATTGCAGGCCCAGGGGTCAACATCACGATGCCTGTCGTGTGCTCCGTAGAGTCCGTATGGGGATATATTTTCGGACTACACAATCACAATCAACTCGTACAGAGTCCGCCACCTACATCTGCCGTAAATTAATTCCATCACGCTTACATGACAAATACTCGCCGGCAAAAGGCGAGTAAATGCTGTAGCTACTACATGTACGAGTTGGCAGTGCGACATGCATCGTCGGCTAGTGGTGAGAGAGATCGTATGCCTAGATCTTCGGTTAGTTTTTGTACATGCATCTGTCTTGGGAGGCGTTGTGCTACCCTGTACCATGATGGGATTTTGCAACTGATGGGTAAAAGATGTTGCCAAAAGAAAAGAAAAGAGTCAAATTCAAGTAAGACTAAAGCGACGAGTTTGTCCTCTATACAAGCGCAGTAATAGATGCAAATCTCTTTCGTGATTCGTATTTGGAGCTCAATCTTGGGGTGAACCCTTGAACGCCTGGGTAAATGAAGATCGGTATCACCGTTGTAAGATGCGGATACCACCACAGACTAGATGTAATTAGCCTCATTGCTATTAGTAGGTACATATACTCCGTACACAAGCAATTGGACCTCCACAGGGAATTGGACAGCTGATCCAATCGCCATTTGTCAGAATGGAGATGCCAGACAGATCGGGCTGGGCGGAGATTGGGTCCTCGAGAAAGCATTTTCGCCAAGCGTCGAAATGTCTCAGATGAATCGAGGCTCGCAAATACTACAATGACATGTGAATATGTGCACGGCCAAAGAGACAGGCAATTTGTATTACGTAGGTAGAGAAGATATTGGATGATTTCAGATGACCTGGGAGTCGTTTTCGTTGGCTCACCGGTTTACTCGACAGCCACTTCTTCGCTCAATGCGAGCAGTAGTAGGACTTCAAGTCTCATGTCATCAGTCCGCCATACGCTGCGCAACATGGCTGTATTTTCCAATGAGGTAACTCGGATTAGCCAGCCTCTTCCAGATTGTAACATGCCATGATTCCAATTTTTGAAGAATGATCTTGTGTATTAAAAGCCAATAATAGATCGGCACCATGCTGTTTTGAAGCTCGAGGGGATGATTAGTGCGAGCACTGGTAGAGTTAAGACGCTGTATGCATGTATGCATGTGCTTAACAACCATTCCTCTCAGGTCATCGGTACTTCTCGCTGCGGAGAGAAATTACCTGTTCAAAGGAACTGCAAGTGAATGAATGCACTCCAATAGGGATTTGGATACATATTAGTCAATTAATGATGAATGAGTGAATGAACGTCTTTCCCATTTGTCTCTCCACAACGACAAAAATGAGGCGCTGTCCATATAAAGAATGTCACGAATCCTTTCAGGCGATGGGCCACCTAGCACGATGGCAACAAGCTTCCAATCTCAAAAAGTGGCTGTATCTCTATTGTTGAAAAGAACTGGGATCTGAGAAGAAATTCATTTGGTGCTGTTTTAAAGTAGTACCTAGGTAGGGAAGTCAATTCACTCTTAGACCATGACTGCTGTTACCCGAGAACGATGGACCAGTTGGGCGAGCTTGTTAACAATCAAGGGTGACCAAAAACCTGGAGCAGCCTATTGCATCACCAAAAAGGCGGACTTGTGTTTTGCGTTCAGAAAACTCATAAGAAGCCTACGATCTATTGTCGATTGCCTGGATTATTTACCCAACCAACAAAACAACATGGAAACTTTGAGGTATCTATACGGTGGTGTATCCAACCTCCAGGTCAGCTATATCAGCCTACATGTACCTACGTGTGTCCGGCGCCCCATGCCCAAATTTACTAGGCAGTAGTAGATGTTGTAGAAAAATACCAATGTCAAAACAAGGCAGGCAGAAAGACATCTACTTAGTAAGAAGAGCACTAGACATGTTTTTAGTATCAAACTCAGTATCAGTAGAGTAGTTATCTGTATAAATCTACTAGAGCTACTTTCTTTAGCCAACACGCCTATATCTTAGTCTGTACGATAGACTTACCGTCTTCATCACCATTTGAACAGTTATAATATCTAGAATCGGGAGCCTTATGACAGTGTTCGGCTAGCATTTGTTCTAGGATAGGGCACATCGAACTCACGGTTATGCGCTGCTATTAGGGATACAAGTGAACCAGATGAAATTCCCTGCGTTGGATATCGAACCGTACTGCTATCTCGTCATACAAGTGAGGCTTCTGGCAAACGATGACTTGGTTGAACAGATCAAGTCAAAGAGCTCAGATATTACAATTGGAGGAAGACGACAAGGAATGGCATTTTTCGAAGTCGGGTACTACTGGAAAAGAGCGACTACTATAAAAAAGCCAAATCTAGTATCTGAATTTAATGTGCAGTCGAGAATCGAGGTTGTCATGATAAACTTTGCCAACTGGCAGCCAAAAGTGCTGCCACCTGGCACTTGCCGACGCGTCCACTCGCGTCGCCTTTCTACAAGAACCCCAAAACTTCTTGTCTCGAAGAACAACTTTTCCTCTTCCACCTCTCGAGACAGGATCAACAACCAACGCCCACGATGGCGCCCAACCTTGTCACTCACCCAAACCCCTGCCCCAACCCAAACATCCCCCCCTTACGCTTGGAGACTGAAGACATTCCCATCGCCAAGAATCATCCTCAGTACGACCACGCCCTCGCTGCCATCACGGCGTACTGGCGCCAAGCAACAAACATGGCGCTCTCCGATCAACAGGAATACCGCGAGCTCGTGGCTTCGTCGGCGTTTATTGTTCCCAAATCAGCGAAAGGCGCGCCGAGCCAGCACAAGCTGTACAAAGCCATCAAGAATAACCCAACCTGGGCGCGATACGTTATGTTTAATGCCATCTATGGCAAAGTCAAGTCTGTGGCAGAGCATGTGAAGACGGTACATGGCTCTGATGTGATGAAAAACTTGTTCAACGAATACTGCAAGCACCATCCCTGGCAAGAGCGTCTCAAGAAGCGTCGAAGCGACTCGATCGCTGAAGGTCAACCTCCGAGTAAGAAGCATGCTGAAGCCCCTGCTTCGTCCAACTCGGTGGTCGGTTTTTCTGGAAAGGTAGCAATCAAGAATGAACTTTCAGAGTCAAAGAGTCAAGATCTTCACGGATTCGCCAAGGTAGATCAAAAGCCCATGATGGCGCCTGTGTCGAACGAGAACAAGCTCGCCCTACATCAACGGAGCGACTCTCCTCTTTTTGCTCGGGGCATCAAGACACTGTCCCAGAAAGCGGCAGAGACCGACAGAGCAGACGAGATACTGCGCGAACTCATTCTCATTCGAGAGAATCAAGTCAAGCAGACTGAGAAGGCGGACCAAATACTACGCGAACTCGCGCTCATTCGCGAGCATCAAACCAAGGAGGCTGAGAAGAAGGGAAAGGCTATGGCGAGGGTGGAGGGCTCCATTGCCGAGCTCACTTCCCGTGTCAAGGTCGTAGAGGATGTCCAACTGCTGCTGCAGAAGAATCCATGATGGCGTTCTTTTGAACATGGGCAGATGAGCAGAACACAAGGGGGATATTGGCTGGGGGAATGCGGCGTGATAGGACTATTCACCTAGACTTCAGTGAGTCTGAGTCTGATATGTAGTGCCTGATTAACACGACCTCTATTGGCTGAAGAGACCAACTCTCTTTTCTAATTCATTGTGTTTATCTCTCTATCGGTATTTTATCTCACTCCGCAACCACTTCTTGCATCAAGTCTTCTGGCCATCTAGCTGCATCCGTCCCATTTCCACGAGTTCCAACATTGTATCGCAAGTCAACCACGCCGCCCCAATCAGCAACTCCCTTCACCGCACGAAACACCTTGTCTCCAAGCACACTCGGTGAGCGTCGGTCCTCGAAGAACTCCGGGCGCAATATCCTCTTACTTGCCGGTCCAGTTTTGAGCCTCTTGACCGTTTCTGGCGCCGAGATGCCGTTGTTGTGCCAGTAGCGGTAGACTGGCCTGCCGTGCTCAGCCCACACCTTGTCAAAGACTTGAGTGGGATACGTGCCCACTGAACGGATAAGCCATGTGCTGTAGTAATTGAGGGAGAGATCGATGCAGTAAGATCCGCCTCGCTCAGCACGACGCAGCAGGGCGATGAGGACTGCGCAAGAACCAGCAACGCCGCTGCAATAATCGCTGTGAGGGAAGATGGGCGTGACGGGTTCATCATTTCCCATAGCTTGGCCAAAAGAATAACTAAGGCCGGTATTCTAAACACGAAAATATTAGATTCGACGACAAACAAGGGGAGAAAGGGACGGCAAAAACTTACAGCGTCAGCAACTTGCTGCCATCCGCTTCGGTCCTTCCATGAGCCATGCCAGCCGTATGAGTTTTCTCGCACATGAATGATTCCCTTGGCTCGGTTCTCACACATTTTAATGATGCCCTCTTCACCAAAGCCGTATTTGTCGAGAGCACCGGGTCGGTAGCCCTGGACGACGACATCGGCCTCCTGGATGAGCTGCTTGAGCTTCTGTCGACCACTCTCCTCTCGGAGATCGATGCTGCAGTTCCATTTCCCCCAGCTGAGATCAGCTTGAAGAGATACGACATCTGGCAAATGGGGTGCTGTGCAGCGCATTACGCTGGCTCCTAGTTCCGCTAGGGATCTGGTAATACTGGGCCCAGCGATGATTCTTGTAAGATCAACGACTTTGATGCCTATTGTTTTTTGAATCATATTAGCCAACCATTGTATAACTTCAAAGAAGAGAGAGTAAGCAAATTGAATGCCCGACTAACCGGCGAGTGGCCTAGAAACACCAGATTGAGACTCGGGCGTTTCCCACCAGCAAGGCTCTTGCAGCTTGTTCGCAGTCTCACGAATTTCCCAAAGCCCAACATGCGCATTGGCCTTGCCGTGCTTTGAGTTCAGGAACTCATCCACAGTGTAGCAGATGGTACCAGCTTGACGCGTCTCATCCGTGATTTGCTGCAGGGTCTGGCTGTCAATCTTGCCAAACGCTTCATTAAACGGCTTTACGGCATCCTCATAAACATTTGTATCCTCATCGGCTTCGGCTTTCAGACCAACATTGAGGAGCACCGGTGTAGGATTCAGCGACCCGTGGGCTTGGAAGAAACGACCGTCGGCGCACTTGTAGATGTTGGTTGCCAGGTTGCGGTGAGTAGAAGCATTCATGCGATGCTTGTCACAGCTAGGAAAGTATTTGAACAGGTTCGCGTTTGCCTGGCGGAGGTTGTTGGGGCTGATATTCTCCCCCGAAGGATCAATAGTCCAGAGGAGAGTAGAAAAGATGAAGAGACTGGCATGGTCGGTGTTGATGGTGACACGGTGAGGCTCAAGGCCATAACGACGCTGGAGAATCACGTCCACCAACGCTGCTTCGAGTGCCTTTAAAGATGATATAGCCTCTGCAAGTCTCCAGTTGACGGGAAGAGACGGACTGTCGGAGCCGGTGAAGACGATGTTTGTGCTTTTCTTGAGTACTTCAGCGGGGAGGTCTTTGGCTATGAGGGGATTCGAAATGATGCCCTTGTCGTATACTTGATTTGCAGCCACAGGGACCGAATATGTATTGGCATCATCACCAACAATGGTTTCTGTAGCCGTCATGTTGAAGAGGTTGTGCTTATGTCGGCACCCGGTGACTCTCTGTGCTATGTAACGAACTTTGATCTTGGGAAACAGGTTACGGTTCATTTTCGAGGAGAAAAAGAAGAAGAAGAGAACAATTCTCTGCCATAGTGGTTTTCTTCTATATATATTCTGTTTTACTCTAGGAACCATCATAATCGTCATCTCATTGAAAAGACAAGGCATCAATATCGGCTTCTCGGGGCGCAGTCCGCAAACCGCGGAGAGCCTTCCGAAGACATGTCCATACCACCCACAGCGGATCTACGACAGGCTAAGGCCATTAGGGAGTTGAAATCCGAAAAGTAGACAGAAACAGGGCATTTTTCGGAAAGCCGGCGGATTTACGAGCCATGAAGGCTTGGAAGAGTGAGAGAGTCAATCGGTTGAGGGGGATGATGACGAACAGCGGCATGTTTATAACTTCAGGCTCATTTAGTCGGAAGCTGCAATATTCGGACAAAAAGCCGCATCACTAATGATCACCAAGCTATTTGTGAGCCCAAAGGTCGGTGGAACAAGATATTGTAAGCACGCCGGCTCAGGTACTAATGCAATCGATTCAATTCGTTTGGATGAATCGCCAGTGACATTCCGAAAGAGACATTCCGAAAGAAACATTCTGCGGGGAATTAAGACAGATTACCTAATCTTAACTGCTGTTGATTTGAAACACGTGACTTGGCGGATTCAACGCGAGACTGAGAGTCGCGTTTCCTTGTCTGGAGCTCGCGGTAGTTAAGAAGATTGTCGGATTAACAAACTTGAACCCTGCAACTTGGATGACATGAGCATGGGCATGAGCATGTGAGATGGCACGGCATCGCAGCCTCGCCGGCTTCAGCCTCGAATAACCAGCCGATTAACAAACCAGAAATTGCTGCTGCTGCTGCTGCAATGGCTCCTCATGTGATTGATCTGATCTCTTCAAGCCCTCCGTTGCCAGCCAGTCTTGGGCCACCAGCAACAGAAGCAGCAGAAGCAGCAGCAGCTTATTCCTCACCGTCACTGCCACTGTCGATAATTGCGACTGATGGAGACCGAAATCAACGCAGACGGCCTCATTCACCGCAACTGTTTGTTTCCTCCGAATTCGACTTTGCCTTTGACATCACCGACAATGAACCTGCCCGCCAGGATACCAGAAACGCAAAGCGGCCGAGAATCTCCAAATCACCACCTCGTTCACCATCTCGTATGCCTGCCAATCCTCCTCGAGCAGCTCCGCCTCCTTTTCTCAGCACCACCAATAACAGGCCGAGCCGATTGGAATTCGACCCAATCGAATTCACGAGCTCCATCGACCCAGACACTCCCATAGTTCAGCACAACGCCAACAATGCCGGTTCACGTTTCGCTCAGCCTCAGCCCGCACAGACAAACAAGGCGCATCCGGAGATATCCTTGAACTCTGATCCCTTTGCCAGCTCCCCTCCTCCAACAAGTCTTGTTGCTCCAGAAGAACGAGCAAAGAAACGCAAGACTACGACCATCATAACTGACGAATTCTCCGATCCCTTTGCAAGCTCTCCGCTTCCTCCGGTTCTGGCTCCTCCTCCTCCGCGTGAGCCTCACAAGCCAAAAGAACAACCAGAGTCACTGTGTCAGAAAGTCAACGTTGACGAGTTCTCGGATCCGTTTACCAGTTCACAAGATTTCAACCTTCTTCTGCCTATCAATGCCTCCACCCCTCGCAGAGCGGCATCTGTAGAGATTGTTGATTACTCTCGGAGACAGAAGCACTGGGATCCGATTTCCAGTTCTGCTCCAGAGAAAACCCCACGAGTGTCGTCACCGAAGAAAGCGACCACTGCCGGACCAGCTGTCATTAACATCGACTCGGATTCGTCAGGTACATCCGAGGATGAGTTTCCAGACATTGCCGATTTCAACGCCTCTCATCCCAGGCCCCGTCCTCGCTCTCCCATTCGCCGCTCTCGTAGTGACATTGTCTCCTCACGGAGTAGCAGACCCAAACAATCAGCTACAAGCACGATAGCTGCAAGAACAGCAGAGCAGCGAGCCCGTGATAAGGAGGCTCAAGCAGCTGCCAAAGCCGTCGAAAAAGAGCGAAAACGGCAAGAGAAAGAACAGCTCAAAGAGGCCAAAGCTCTAGAAAAGGAGCGCGCTGCTGCACTGGCAGAGGTGAACAAAGTTCGCACAGACAAAAAGGTTTCGACGCCGGAAATGATTCTCATCATGCCATCAAGCGTAAATGAAGGACTAAAAGTACAATTGGAGACGCTGTTGGACGGGTTAAGCGTAGAATATACCACCCGGGAGAGTCCCATTGGCAACGCTTTCAAGTGGGCTAGAAAGGTCCGGAGCCGTTTCGATGATGAGATGGGCCGCTGGGAACCGATCCCGCTACAGATCAAGTCCGAGAAGCACGTACTGATACTGCTCACGGCAGATGAGTTTGTTGACATGGCCGTCAGTGACTCTGTAGACTCCAACGTTTCTCGAACAAAGAGGCACTTTCCCGGCCACGAATTGATATACCTTGTCGAAGGAATTAACCTCTGGGTGAGGAAGAATCGCAACATCCGAAATCGCAGATTCACATCTGGCGTGCGCGCACAAGAACAGCCGGATTCCGAAGCAAGAGCAACAGCAGCATCGACCACACCCGCTCCCCGTAGACGCCGTAACAACGCTGCTGTCGAGGAGTACATTTCCGAAGACATTGTCGAAGACGCAATGCTACGGCTGCAAGTCGAGCATGACGTTCTAATCCATCACACAGCAGTGCCGTTGGAAACTGCGCAATGGATCGTCGCCTTTACGCAGCACATATCGACCATTCCGTACAAGAAGATGCGGGACAAGATGACCTCTGCGGCGGGCTTCTGCATGGAGAGCGGACAGGTTCGCACTGGCGACGATGCGCGCGATACGTACGTTCGCTTGCTGCAGGAGATTGCGCGCGTTACGGCACCGATTGCCTATGGAATCGTCTCGGAGTTTGGTACTGTGAGCGAGCTTGTTAGGGGGCTTGAGGAGGGAGGACCGTTGAGGCTGGAGAATGTGCGGAAGAGTGCGAACAAAGATGGTGCAGTTTCGGATAGAGCGGTGGGACAGGCTGTGAGCAGGAGAATACACAAGGTCTTTACGGGGAGGGATGAGATGAGTACGGATGTATGATTTATGATGAGACGCAGGATTTTGGTCCTCTTTTTTTTTTGTGTCGCGATGATTTTAGTAGACGTGGACATAGGAATATTCCATGTATAGGATAGTTTACCTCTCAAGAGGGTTGAGGATGGCACAGGTATACAACACCATGAGAACAATTTACGATTCAAAGACCCAAGTCACAGGCAAGCATGCATGAAGGATCAAGGTACAAGAAAAAAAGAAGGTAGAGGTATCAAAGAGGTATCATATTCTATTTGTCTATCTATTTGTATCGATTCATCAAGTTTCATGCGTTTCATGTGAGATCTAATCGTGTCCAAGTTAGCAAAAGGACACACACCATGATGCGCAAACATGAAAAGTGTTGAGAGGTGAATTGTCAGACAGCGGTTGGACAAAATATTTTCCACATTGTGTTTTTCAGAACAGGTCTGTGAGTTATTTGTTGTATCATCACAAAATGATGTGTAGGGCAGCAAAAGATGCAAAGAAAAAAAAAGAAATACATACCATTGCAAAACAGAATGACTGGGTAAGCGCCGCATTACCCAGCACTCATATCATGGCTCTTGCGCTTCTTCGAGCCCGGCACAAAAAACGATGTCAGAGTGCGTTGTTTCTCGTCAAAGGCGGCGCTGCCAATGCCCCCGCGGGTCTTTTTCAAGTCCCTGAGATGAACGGTGCAGTTGACGCGACTGACGTGCAGGATCAACGGCAGCGACTTGTCCTCATCTGCCACGGCCTCGGTCATGGACACGGTGCATTCGAGGAAGCCGGTGTTGTCCCAGAAGGGAGGGGAGATGAGGGAGCTGGCGGCACTGGGGTTTGGGTCGACCGTGATGCCGCCTCGGCTGACGCGGGCGCAGAGCTCACGGTAGAGGACGCCGAGGATGATGCCATGGGAGACGATGGCGCATGTCGATGGACTTCCGTCAATGTGAGCGCTGAGGAGCGGAAGCAGGTGCTCGTCGAGAAAGGCGTCGACCCTCGCCTTCATCGACTCGGCCGTCTCGGAATCCGGCGCGCGGCCTCTCGAGTCTCCAAACTTCATGCCTTCATCACTTCCAAAGTCCTTTTCCCGCAGCTCGGAAAGCTCGACGACCGGAATGTCCCGGGAGCAGACACGCCTCTGCTCCGCCGCAATCGCCTCGGCCGTCTTCACCGCGCGCTGGAGATCCGACGAGAAGATGAACTTCAATGCCAGCTTCTCTTCCTCGGCCAGGTGCGTGGCCAGCCTGCGGATTTGCAGCACGCCGTGCGAAGTCAGCGCCGAATCCCGCGACCCGGCGTAGATGCCAGCAACGTTGTCGACCGTCTCGCCATGGCGGATCAGGAAGAGGTGCATCTTTGAGCGAACACAATGAACGAGCAGCGGTGGAGCGAACAGCTCCGCGTCATGGAGGCGAGGACGGTGCTGCGGGTGCCATGTGTAGACGCCCAAGAGGTTTGTTTGAGGGGGGGAGAGAGCGCCGAGGAGGACGGAGCGGAAAGAGAATGGAGAGAAGAGAAGAGAAAAGGAAAAAAGCGAGAGGCTGAGTTGGGAGAAAAAGTTTTCCTTTCATATCGGAGAGAATTGGGGCCTCTGATTAGGGCATATGTTTGGTGGGGGGAGATGCTCGGATAGTTGCATGGCGGGTTTTGATTGGCAGTGGAAATGCCGCTAAGGGGGGTTTATGTTACCCCTCTAATGCAACAAACATAAATCTTGCATTTAACGAGCATTGGGGAGCTTGAGGTAGCTGGTAGAAAGTGGCACAAGAAGAGATTTTGCAAGAGATATAGAATTTAATCTCTGAGAAGAAGAGAAGAATAATTAAGTAGATTAATATTTGTAAAGATGAGAAGAGTTCTGTTTCTCGCATACAGACGCGCCATTCGTACAGCTGCCTACTCAATTGCCAATCCTCCTCCAGCAGAGAAGCTTACCCTGAAGATGAGAAAAGCTTCATGCAATTCTAACAAGAATCCCAAAATACAGTCATCATCTGGGGGATATTGCTATATAGAAAAAAAAGACATTCATCTTGTTGTCATTAATCAGCTCGGTGGCTGTTCCTCCCCAGCTTCGTCATGACAATCTTGAACGGGTTCCTCGCAGAAAACTTCAACCAAGTCGAGAAATACACAACCCCATAGTTGAACGCAATGAAGCCGCAGAAGATGCCAAAGTCCCTCCAAATATGGCTATACTCGACGCTGAAGCCCATGCCAAACTGATCTCCCGTTGCATATTGACAGAATTCACACAAGCCGTCTGCTGCCGTCTGCACATATCCACCAGACTGGTTGATGAACGAAGCAGTATAGCTTTCACACGTCTGGCCTGGCGGAGCACTGAACCGTGCAAACTCGCTGCTACTACACTGAACTGGATGATCGTGAATGGAGGCACCCAGAAAAGCTTCCAAAAGATAGTGAAAGGGGGAGAGCCAGTACATCCAGCTCCTCCAAAATGTCGGCAGCTGTCTCGGAGGCACAACAACACCGCAAAAACTGACCACAAAGAGGAAGAAGACGGGCACCAGCAAACTTGCCATCAGCTCGTTTGGCGCAAATGAGGCAATGGCCTGGCCAAAACTAATGTAATACAACTCAAACACCATCATCAGTAGAAAGGAGAAGCCGGACGTGAAGCCGGACACGCGCGTGCCAAAGATCCCCCACCACCAGCAGTTGAAGTAAATTGCGCCCGCTACAAGGCCGTATGGGATTTCGACGACGATGGCGGAGGTGACCCATGCTAGCCACGAGTAGATCTTGGCGTTGTTCTCGCGGGACTGGAACAGGTTGCGTGAATTGAGGAACACGGGTTGCAGCTGCTGGATCAGGGGCGGCGAGATGGTGAGAGTCATAAAGATTGAGAAGAGCCGGCTCTGATACGCGATTGTAGAGTAGCCAAGACGCCAAAAGGTGAAGCAGTTGAATAGTCCGGTCAGGATGTGCAGCATAAATTTGCCCACAATGTAGTTTGGAGCTCGCCAGTACGAGACAAAGGCTCGTTTGACCACTAGAGTTGTCTGCAGTGACAGCGGTGCGGCGTATTCGCGGTCGTCTTTGAGGTTCTTGGATAATTCGACTTTCTGCCGTGCCGAGATCATGTCTTGAATTTCACGAGAGCGCTCATCATGTTCTGGTGATGCCGCCCATACATCGCCCCAGTCCTGGCCGTGATAATTTGGATCGCCTGCGCCAATGGCATCCAGCATGTATTCAGCGGGATTCGCATTAGGAGGGCATCTATGGGCGCCGTTGGATTCGAAATATCTGATCAGAGGCTGGCTGTCTTTGCCCAGTGGTCCGTGGTACACGACTCTTCCTCCGTTCTTGAGTAACAGGAGCTCGTCAAAGTGTTCGAAAAGCACCGCCGATGGCTGGTGAATGGTGCACAAGACTGCTTGACCGGCATCGGCTAGCTTTCGCAAGAATCGCACAATGTTGAACGCCGCTCCAGAGTCAAGACCAGAGGTGGGCTCGTCGAGGAACATGAGCAGTTCGGGCTTGGACGCCAGCTCAACTCCAATGGTTAACCGCTTTCGTTGCTCTTGGTCCAGACCCTGGCCAATCTTGCCAATGGTGGCGCCAGCAATATCTTTCATCTCAAGGAGGTCGATGATGGTTTCGCAATACGCGAGCTTCTCCGCCTTTGGGACCTCGTGTGGTTGTCTTAGTAGAGCAGAAAACTGCAGGGCTTCACGCACTGTTGACGTGGGTTCGTGAATGTCCATCTGTTCGGCAAATCCTGTGGCCCTCTGGAAGGACTTGGGTAGAGGTCGGCCGTCAACAAGAAACTCGCCATTGACTGTCCCGAAGCGGAGGCGTTGTGCCAAGGCGTTGAGGAGCGTCGTCTTTCCCGCACCTGTTGCGAATGTCAGTAAATGTCATCGCTATACTATTCTTACTTAAGACATACCTGATGCGCCCATGAGAGCCGTGAGTTTTCCAGGTCGGACAAAGCCCTGGACATCTTGAAGAAGCTTCTTTTCGCCCTTTTGGTACGGAATGGTGTAGTTGATGTTGCGAAACGTAAAAACAGTTTCGTTCTTGGCAATTTCAGGACCGTCGCCGGTTGAATCGCTGTTCTCAAGCTCCTTCTCTTGGACCATGGCTGGAGTGATGTGAGATACAACTCCAGACTCCTCATCCGTCTTCTTCTTCTCCTGACCCCTGCCACCAGTCTCTATAGACGTCTCCACAGCTTTTGGTACTTGACCTCTCTTGAACATGGTGATTGCTCCTCCACCGGCATTCGGCTTCATAATTTCCATCCCAACCGCCGTCATAAAGACAAAGAAGATGAAAAAGGCCCAGAGAAACCCAAAGTTGCGCCATAGATGTGCTCTAGTGTACGAAAAGGCAGATTTAATGTAAGTTGCACCGTCGACAGTCGTCTGACCCGGTTGGCTACCCGCAAGAGTACAAGACTGAAATTGCGGTGATGTCCCCGGCCCTTGGGGTACTAGATACGGACTCACACACTCGAGTTGCAGACCCGTGAATTCATTCGACATGAGACATTCAAATCCGTAAAAGATCCAGTTTATCCATCGAAGCCAGGAAAACCAAGGGTGCATTTGAGAGGGAGGGATCAAGTATCCTGTGTACACAATCAAAATTTGCACCGCAACTCCAGTCACTCGTGTCGCCTCGTCGAGAGTCGGGCACCAGGCCGCCAGGCACCGGAAGAATGCATATGTAACCATGGTAACTAGCCATAATATGAGAGTGGCGATGAAATACTGCGATGCTGTTCGAGCTAGATGCGACATAAAGTATATGATGGTGTTGAACAGGACGATTTGTATGAACACCAGAGGGATATCCACGACAGTCTGCGCAACCGCGTACGCCGCTGGCCGATAGAATGAAAATGATTTATGTTTGAGCATGATGGGCTTCGAGGTAAATGCTGCTGTCATTTCTGCCAGCGCAAGTAAAGCATTGAAGAGCAACAGAAAGAATAGCGTTCCTCCCCTTGGGAACGCCCCAGCTGCAGTTTCAGGGAGGTTATAGAACAAGCTGCCCACAATGAGGCCCTGGAACAAGAGACCACCCCATTTTCCAAAGAGAGATGCTGAATCTCCTATCATGATGAGGAACTGACGTTTTGTGCAGGCAATGACTTGCTGATGAAAGGCTAGAGTATAGTTGTGTTCTATTTTCTTGCGATGTGCCACTTCCCGCTCTTCGGCTTGGGTGTGGAGTTCTTTCTCAAAAGCTTCCATGTCTGCGATATTCTCGCGATAAATCTCGCTCTTCCGGTATGCATTGAAGAACTCATCGGGAGATCGTGGGATGCGCTGCTCCCAGCCGGGGCGACTACTGCGTTCATGCTGGTCGCTGACGGATGTCAAGAAGTCGGCCGTCGTCCAACGCTCGGGACAGTCGAAGCCCAGATCCAAGAAGTATTTCTTTGCTTTTTCTGAGGGCCCAAAATACAGACACTTGCCGCCGTCAATGAGTAGCACCTTATCCACTAGCTCATATAGAGACTCTCCGGCTTGGTAGAGTGACACCGAGGTTGAGATTTTGCCCATGTTTGTCATTGCTCGAATGGCCCTCACATATTCCAGTGCTGTGCTTGCGTCTAAGCCTTTACTTGAGTTATCCCAGCCTTGCACAGAGGCGCGGGTGATCATGGCCTCTGCGATACTAACACGTTTTCTCTCGCCGCCGGAAACACCGCGGATAAATTCATTGCCAACTTTGGTCCCAAGAGTGTGTTCGATCCAAAAGAGTTTTGTGACGACGCGAAGGAATTCCTTGATATACGATGAACGGCTTTCTCCTTCGAGTCGCGCCTCTTTGCCTGGTGTGCGCGTCTGAAGAGCAAAAGACAGGGTTCTTTTCACCGTCAGAGTTGCGTAGTGTAAGTCATCCTCAGGGTTGTAAATGACTTCGCCGCGAAAATGCTTGGCTATCTCTTTGGCGTCCGTCCCGCCATACTTGACGTCTCCTTCCACAGCTTCAAAGCCATACCGCTGGTTGCAGAACGCTTTGAGGAAAGTCGAACATCCAGACCCAGGACGCCCCAAAACGAGCAGAAGCTCACCAGGTCTGACACAGCCGTCAAAGTGGCTAATCAGCTCTCTTATTGGTGGCTTGGCCTGGGCAGCTTTGCGGCCGCCCCTGATGAGATTCCTAATTTTTCTAGGAAGGCCCAGGAATATGTCGCCGACGGTTGGTTGAAGACTTGCACCGAGGCCGACTCCTTTGACGGTTAGATCGCGGAAGATGACGCCGCTGTGTCGCAGATTCTCTTCTGAGTTTTGTTCTTGTCTAGCATGGCCAAACATGCGCGACATGAGACGTTCTATCTCTGCCGAGTCTTCCACTCCTTCTGTTCCAGAACCACCGCTGCCTGTTGTTCGGCGCCGGGACAATACGCGAAAGAGGTCATCTTCATTCTGAACGCTAACGTGACTTGGTATCCTTGATGTCACACGATGACCTGAAGTTGAAGAGCCATCGCTACTGGATGAGATCCGGCTACCGACAAGAGACGAGTCATCTTGTTCCTTTTTATCGGCACTCCGGCTGTTTTCATTAGGCAGGGTGGTTATTTCTTCGCCCGAAGAGGCTTGGGGTGGCCGACCGCCTGTTTCTTTGAGATCCATTGGATCTAGATCTTTACTCATTATTTATGTTATAGAGAGACGCAAATGAAAGATAATAACAAAGACCATGCCTATGGTGCAACAAGAGCTGTAGAGTTCCAATGCACGATCTGGAATCTCTGTCTCAAACCTCCATCCATCTATTCGACAGATCACTCCACCTTTTGCTTTTGGCTTGCTGGTTTGCCTGATTTTATCTGCCATGCTCGGACATCCTAGGAGTCCGGGAGAGGCTGAAAGAGTCCGATTTCACCGAATTATGGCGAGTCGATGACGATAGAGTTTCCGCTCAATCATCATTTTGGCGGAGACACTGTGCGCATACTTCCGATG